AGACCAGCCAGTTTGGCACTAACAACCATGCCACATTCAAAGTCACTTAAATCACCTTTTTCCCCTATTCTGATTCTCGGTAACCGCATCAGGTCCTCTTGATCATGTCTACATGCCTAAATGCATTAAGTTGCTGCCATGTGATTGGCTGATTAGAAATTTGTGCTAACAAGCAGTTGGACAGGTGTACCTAATAAAGTGGCCGGTGAGTGTATATCCTTGGCAATAAAACAAAGTAATATTTTTATTTATTTATTAGGTTAATTTCTAGGTATGTGTCTCAGATAATCCTTTACTTAGTCCCTTAATCAGCTCTAATGACCCCACTTCAGAAAAAAATGGGTGTACACTGTAAACAAGTTATATTCAGAAAGAATATGAATGGAAAATCTGAAGCAAAGCATGAAGGGACATATGGCCAAATAGCTTATATAAGCTGTCGTTAAGTTTCACATGGCTGCCACCTCAGCGTTTATATGCTCTTTATACGATTTGTTTAAATAGAAGAAGCAGTAGCTCACACTCTGCCCCCACTTAATGCCTCGAGCACAGCCTCATGTACAGTAAGACATACACACACACACACACACACACACACACACACACACACACACACACACACACACACACACACACACACACACACAGAGATCTCTTCATCATCTCCCTAGTAACCCACGCCAGCCTGACTGTTGCTAAGGTGGTGTGGTGACAGTTCTGCCCTCCTCCTGTACCCCCATCCTCCCCCACTGCCAACCACTCACATTCACACCAGAAGACTAGACACTGCTAGCAGAAATGCTGATTTTACATGCGCCTGTCAATTTAGAGATTTTGCCCTTTTTGGCTTTTCGTAAAGTGATTATTATTTTTTTTTTCAAATGGAAAGAAAACAACAAAATCGACACTTTAAAGTGTTTCTTTTGTCAGACTTTATGAATTTGTGTTTGCAGATTTCAATTACAATACAAATTTTTAAAAGACGTTTTCTCAAAATGACTTTTTTCTCCTGTAATGAGATGATAAATCTCCACTTCAGAAGCACTTACAAACATTTTTATATTCAGATTTTTCCAGACGTACATGTTTATACAAACAGAAATTTGCCTTATTATATATATTTCTTTTTACAAAGAAAGTTCACAGTATTTTCTGAATTATGACTCCATAAAAAGTTTTTCTAGACCCATTTATTAAAACCTTTTAATCTAAATCTAACTAAAAAATGAAGCTAGAATTTTGACACTGACTTTTGAAAATGTTTGTTAGAAATAGTGAATTATTTTTATATGTAAACGTACTGTTTCAGAAAACGAGACACTGCAGGCAAATATTCTAATTTTACATACTGTACATCTGTCAGGTTAGAGATTTTGGCCTTTTTGGCTTTTTATAAAGTGTTTTCAGTCTAATGTAAAGAAAACATCAAAATGACATTTTGAAGTGTCTCTTTTGTCAGACTTTACAAATAAAGTACAGACAATACATGTTTTTATAAGAAGTTTTCTCATAATAAGTCTTTTTCTCCTGCAATGAGCCAAATATTTCCACTACAGCAGCACTTACAAACATTTTACGTTTAGATTTTTCTAGACGTACATGTACATGTTCCAAACGTACATGATTAGTCTTATTTTCTATAAGTTCACAGTATTTTCTGAGTTATGTCTCATTAAAAAGATTCTCGGGCGGCATGATGGCTCAGTGGGTAGCACTGTTGCCTTATAGCAAGAAGGTTGCTGGTTCGAGTTGCTATTTCTGTGTGGAGTTTGCATGTTCTCTCTGTGTCGTGTGGGTTTCCTCCAGGTGCTCCGGTTTCCCCCAAAGACATGCGCTATAAGTGAATTGAATGAACTAAATTAGCCGTAGTGTAGAGACTTGTAGTGTATGTGTGTGAATGTGAGAGTATAAGGGTGTTTCCCAGTGTGCTGGGTTGCGGCTGGAAGGGCATCCGCTGCCTAAAACATATGTTGGATAAGTTAGCGGTTCTTTTCACTGTGGTGACCCCAGATTAATAAAGGGACAAAGCTGAAGAATGAATAAATGAATGAAAAGAGGTTCTTCAGATCCCATTTATAAAAACCTTTAAATCTATCTTTTTTAATAGATGAAGCAAAAATTTTGAAACTAGAATTTTGAAAATGTTTGTTAGAAATGGTGAGTATTTATATGTAAGCATACCGTTTCAGAAAACAAGACACTGCAGGCAAATTCATGATTTTACGTGCATTTGTCAATTTAGAGATTTTGGCTTTTCATAAAGTGTTTTTTAGTCTAAGAAAACATCAAAATTTCATAAGGTGTTTTTAGTCTAATGTAAAGAAAACACCAAAATGACACTTTAAAGTGTTTCTTTTGTCAGACTTTATCTATCTGTGTCTGCAGATTTCAATTACAATACATATTTTCAAAAGATGTTTTCTCAAAATGAGTTTTTTCTTACGCAATGACCCATACATAATTTTTTTTATATTCAGCTTTTTCCAGTTCATACATAATTTGTCTTACTATATCCAAAAAATCTTGTCTTACTATATCCAATTTTCTGAATTATGGCACAATAAAAACTTTCCCTTGATCCCATTTATAATTTTATATCTAACTTCAAAAAAATGAAGCTAGTAATTTGAAACTGACGTTTGAAACTTGAAAATGTGTGCTAGAAATAGTGAATTCTTTTTATACGTAAACACACCATTTCAGAAAAGTTGTAATACCTAAAAATGCAACTATTAATATAACCAATCAACTGGGGAAGGATGGTGATAACTGTTAGTTATTTTTACCCTGTGCACCTGCAGCTTCTTGCCTTAATAAGGCATTAAAGGGTTTCCATGGATACCAGAATCAACTCCCTCAGTCATGAAGGGAAACACGTTTTCCATTATTTCCAATCTTGCATCAGGCAGAGAAATATCAGTCACTTTATTGTGGCTGGTGTTGAAATTGTCCGTCTTATTTTGGTTTAAAAACAGATGCATGGATTTGCTGCTTGACTGTGGATTTCAAATTTACGTATCTGTTACTTTTCATATCAAACAGCAGTTAAATGATTTTGTTAAATATATATTTTTATACCAAAATACACATATATCATATTATTATTATTATTTGAGTAAATTCTTTACATAGATCAGATATGTTAAGAGGTATATTTTTATTCATTTTTCCTTTGGCTTTGTCCCTTTATTCATCAGGGGTTGCCACAGTGGAATAAACTTCCAACTCATCCATTATATGTTTTACGCAGCAGATGCCCTTCTAGTCACAACCCAACACTGGGAAACACCCATACACTCTCACATTCACTACAGACATTTTAGCTTACCCAGTTCACCTACAGTATAGCGCATGTCTTTGGACTGTCGGGGAAACTGGAGCACCCTGGAGGAATCCTATGCCAACACAGGGAGAACATGCAAACTCCACATTGAAATGCTAACCAACCCAGCTTGAGCTCAGCCTTAAACCAGCGACCTTCTTGCTGTGAGGTGAAGGTGCTACCCGCTGCACCACCTTGACACCCTATGTACTGTATATTTTACTGTTTAATAATAATAATAATAATATGTACTGTTGGGTAGATTCTCCTAAAAGTTGTCTGTTGACTTCCTGGTTGGTACAAAGCCTCTCCTACAGAAATATGCAAAGTGCTCTGATTGGTCAGCTGGCCCAATGTGTTCTGCTTGGCTAACCACCTAGTGCACATTGAATGTAATGTCACATCTATAGCGGGGCTTGTGTACATTTTAGGGTTTGTGAAGCTCATTGTAGTCGTTTTTGCCAGCAGTTTGTTTAAGACCTTAAAAAGTGAATTATGTCAAATAATATCTCCCTTTAATTTGATCTTTGTGCTTTAAAAAAATGTCTACATTTTTTATGTAGGTCTGGGCACAACCATTTGCACTTGTCTAGTCTTCCAATCTCATGCACTTTCATTGAATTTTAGCTGTACAAAACAGCTTGTTATGGTCATTGATGTTGTAAATAGTTTTTTTAAAATTATTATCATAATATTTTAATTTGAATATATTGTCATAAACACTTGTTTGTAGTGCAAGTAGTTTGATTGTTTACTACTATATGTTATTCCTAGTAATTTATCCATAGCTGTAAATTAATTAGTCTTAAGCTTGTTAATAAGGCAGATACAGTTCATCCATTTTTACAAATAGATTCTGCGACTCTTTATCCTTTCTGCAATTCCACGTTTAGTATACTCAAAAGAAATATGTTTGCTGTTTGTTCATTCATTCATTCATTTCTTTTTGGCTTAGTTCCTTTATTAATCTGGGGTCACCACAGCGGATTGAACCGCCAACTTATCCGGCGTTTGTTTTACGCGGCAGATGCCCTTCCAGCTGCAACCCATCACTGGAAAACGTTTGTTCTAACTACTTATTTAAATTGAGCTGAAACAACACAATTCTTCCCAGAACTCGTGTTGACTTCAGAACCCAACGTCAAGGTCCAACATAAAATCAACTGAATATCAACGTCTAATGATGTTACAGCTTGACGTTGTGTGGATGGAACTATGATGTCTATCAGATGTTAAATTTTGGTTGCCATACCTGACGAATAAATATCAGTATGTGACGTTAATATGATGTTGGTTTAGGATGTTAGTTTGAGGTTGGATTTCTGTCCCTTTCCAACGCAACCTAAAATCAACCAAATATCAACATCATTTGACGTCGTTATTGGTTAAAATAACGTTGTCCTTAGACTAGACAATAAATTTTGGTCACCTGATGTCACAACCTACATTAAATCTAACTTAATATTAACTTTTTATAACATTGTGAGCCTGCTGGCTTGAGTTTTTTGGTGAGACAACTTAATTGTGTTTATGCTCAATCCACTTAAATTGATAAAAACCAATAAATTAACTTAAATCCCCAACACAAATCGATTGTGTGGAACCTGCTTCCATGTGGATAACTCACTTTAGTCTTAAATACCTTAGTACCTACTTTTTTTTTTATTTGTGCTGACAGGAAGCATCAAGGAACTGGGAAGTGTCCAATAGAGCCTTTCATCATGGGTAAACAGAACAGTAAGTTGCGACCCGAGGTGCTGAATGACCTGCGGGAGAACACAGAGTTCACAGACCACGAGCTGCAGGAGTGGTACCGCGGTTTTCTGAAGGACTGTCCGTCCGGCCATCTGACGGTGGAGGAGTTCAAGAAGATCTATGCCAATTTCTTCCCCTACGGTGATGCTTCCAAGTTTGCAGAGCACGTCTTTCGCACCTTCGACACCAACAGTGATGCCACCATTGACTTTCGGGAGTTCATCATCGCCCTAAGCGTGACATCCCGTGGAGGCCTGGAGCAGAAACTGCGCTGGGCCTTCAGCATGTACGATCTGGACGGCAACGGATACATCAGCCGAGCCGAAATGCTGGAGATTGTACAGGTGAGGCTTTTCACACTTTGCGTTTCTGCATATTGCTCCGCCGAGTCATTGTTTTCAGAGCAGCTTGTCCCATATCAATATTGGCTCAGTCTACTGTTTGGAGATCCAGTCCTCCTGAATAAACAGATCTCCTCAATCAAGTGTTCCACAGGCCATATGGTCTTCCTACAAATAGTGGCCAAACACAAAGGCTTTGTTCACTGCTTCAAAGGCTCTGTTGACTCTCCATGTTAATAACATAGATTTACACCTGCAGCAGAGGACATGCTATAAAACCATATCTGAGAGATACATTAAATGTATCTGATGTATCTTAAGTCACGATCATCTGCATGATATGAAGTGTCGATTGAAGCAGTGACAGCTGGGTTATGGAACTTCTGACTGTCAGTTGTAGTGTTTAACTGACAGACTAATCAAATATGTTGCTACTGAAAACTGAAACCATATGCTTTGACACACAGTTCCGTTCATCTTCACAGGCGATTTATAAAATGGTGTCATCTGTGATGAAGATGCCGGAGGATGAGTCAACGCCTGAGAAACGCACAGATAAGATATTCCGACAGATGGACACAGACAACGATGGTACGCCTCCTGAGAGCCGTCTCCCACTCACGCTTAAGATCCAGATAGAATTGTAAAGCTGAAGCGTTGAAACTGAAACTGCACTGAAAAAAGTAACATAAGAATAAATACATCTTGTTTTCCATTAGATACGGAAAGTACATATAGCTACAGCTTTAAAAAGCCATGCATTCTGTTTAAAGGGATAGTTCACCAAAAAAAAAAAAAAAATATTCCCCAGAATATACCCCAAAGAGGGTATGATAATAAAATGTAAATAAAAAACAAGTCTAATGTAGGGTAAAACTAAACTATTTTCGTCATAGTATTGCCATAGTATTTCATAGACAGGTCAACTAAAACTTACTGTTTGCATTTCTGTGCTCAAGTACAACTTTTTTTTTTATGCTCAAGAACATTTTCTTTGTTTTATTTTAAAAACGTAACTCTACAGAATGTATTCTATCTCTGCCAATCCCAGTGCTGCCTCTCACTGGCTTTAATGACAGTACAGTACTGTAGTTATACTGTAATCAGTACGGTGGCCTAGATGGCTTAAAGTGTTGTAATTATAGGAAACAAGTGCAGTTACAAAAAAAAAAAGCCAGCAAATTGAGAACAGATATTCATCAGTTTAACAGCAGATCGTCACAACGTAAAAACATATTTAAAAAACGTGCTGCATTTTCACACAACTCAAACAGTTAATAAAACGAGCTGCATTTTTCTCACAACGCAAACATTTTATGAAATGCGCTGCATTTACTCACAACACAGTGGAAATATTTCAAGAAGACCCTAAAATGTGACAGACCCGGTTGTTTAGGTTATGATTAGGGCTTGACATTAACTTTTTTTTGATCACCAGCCACTGTGGCTAGTAGTTTTCCAGCATTACTAGCCACTCGCCATTTTCACTAGTCAGTTTTACTGTTGGGAAAATATATTTTGTACACATAAATATGACTTTGACATGCTAAAATGACTTGATTTAGAGTTTGCGTTATCTCCACATGCCTCTTCATTCATTTCACTTTTAGTGTGTCATGTATGAGCTTGTTCAGTGAGCATGAGCAAGTGGGTCATGGTTTCATAGTATTACAATTAGTTTTTATTTTACATGAATTTTCAGAGCTCAAAATAAAGGTTTTACCAAATTTGTTTCTGACCACACCATACATAAACAATTAATTATTTCTTAGCTACAAACTTTTAATGTGTAAAAACAAGCAAAATATAGTTACTTTTTATTTAACAAAACACATGCACAGTAATCTGTCTTGGCTAAAGGTCCCAGATCACCAGTTAACTACACATAAATGGGGAGTTAATCTCCCATTAAAGCAATTTTACCGTAAAATATTATAATTAAATCATAATAATGCAAAAGAAAGCAGGTAAAAAAAAACATACCGTGTGATAATAAAAGAATGATCACACATACACGGCTAATGTTAAACCCATAAATAATCTGTTCAAAGAATGGTTAAAGCGAAAGCAACCGGTGCTGCTTACAAAAAAGACAAATCTGGAGCTTTTGAAAACAGCAGGACTGTGCGTGCATGTTCATCACTTTTTGTCTAGTCTATTCAAAAGAGAACCGATCAAATCAGTTGTGTTTCTAGACACAGTTGCTTCACGCAAGGAAACGGGAGAGCGCACGTGTTTTAAACAGTCGCACGCATCACCTCTGCTGTCGGCGTAAGTGATTATCCTCTCATTCGGTATTCACCTGCATTCTATTGCTCACGCGAACACAATTATTTTTGTCAGTCATGCAGCTTCTCAATTCTAAGATCGCCTTTGCAGGCATTTAGGACCATCCTTGTTGTCGAACCCTGTTTTTAAGAATTATTATCCAGGAAAATTATTTTCAACCAGCCAAAGTGGCTAGTGGGACTGTCTGTCTTACCCGCCACCACTGAAATCTACCCGCATTTGGCGAGTTGGCGGGTGTTAATGTCAAGCTCTGGTTATAATTATTTTGGCTAATAAAATAAAAAAGACAAGGGAATCAGGATGTTAAAATAAACAAACAAAAAACTCACCTTTCAAAGATTACCTACAACTTCACTGAGCAATAGTCATGGCACAGCGGTGTCCGTCACGTTTTTAAGTCTCCTTGAAACATTTCTGTTGTGTTCCTTTCTTTTTGTGTTGTGGGAAAATGCAGCTCAGTATTGTCAGTGGTTTGTGTTGTAAGAAAATACAGCAGGTTTTATTTGTTTGCATAAACTGTTTGCGTTGTGAGAAAATGCAGCCGCGTTTCATTAAATTGTTTGCGCTGTGGAAAAATGCAATGCGTTTTCATAAATTGTTTGTGTTGTGAGAAAATGCAGCACATTTTCAGAAATTGTTTGCGTCATGAGAAAATGCAGTACGGTTCATTATTATGTTTGCATTGTGGGGAAAATACAATGGTTTTCATAAATTATTTGCGCTGTGAGAAAATTAAGTGCGTTTTCATAAACTGTTTACATTGTGAGAAAATGCAGCACGATTCATTAGTATGTTTGCATTGTGGGAAAATACAGCACCTTTTCATAAATTGTTTGCGTTGTGAGAAAATACAGCACATTTTATTAATTTATTCGCATTGTGGGAAAATGCAGTGCGTTTTCATAAATTGTTTGCGTTGTAAAAAAAAATGCAGCACGTTTCATTAATTTGTTTGCGTTGTGAGAAAATGCAGCGATTTATTATTTTTTTTTATGTGTTTGCATTTTGACGATTTGCTGCACGTTTTCTTAATTGTTTTTGTTTTCTTAAATTGCACAGTGTTAAGCTCTCGGCCATCGTAGTAATGTTTTATATTCAAAATTTAAATGAATTTAAATACTGACATGATCATTTTATAAAGTATGCATTCATTTGTGTAAGGACTTCTTTTACATTGGAGGAGATGAAAGTGAAATGAAAATGGAGGCTGTGGTGTTATGAGGTGAACACAGTGAAACATTAGATGGAAAACTGATTGCTCCTCTATGACGTTTTGTAAACTGCATGTACTGATAAAGAACTGCACAGATGCAGATATTATAATAGTTTATCCAGAAACACTTTTTGACTCGACGTTCAGCTAGAGGTAGATTTAAATAAATTTTTCATTCTTTCTTTCTTTCTTTCTTTCTTTCTTTCTTTCAAAGAGAGTGTAGTTTTCTTCATTTTTCTTCCAGTTGAAGTCTTTTTATAAACCAAATGTACTTGTTTTTTTTAATCTCTTGTGTAACGTTGCTCCCAAAGTAAATTGTTTTGTTGTAATTATGATTAGATCTGAAAAACATGCTAGAAGTACCAATTAAGACAATCATTTTGCTCAGTGTCCATGACAACCGCTCACACACAGATGAACCACTGTGCTTTATTTAGGATTAAAATATCAAATATTTGTTCCACTGAAATATTACTGAAAATCTTTTTACTGTTTTATTTTTCTCTTTTACATCTATAGGTAGACTGTCTCTGGAGGAATTCATCAAAGGTGCCAAGAGTGACCCGTCTATTGTCAGGCTCCTGCAGTCTGACCAGAGCAGCTCTCGACAGTTATAAACGCCGCTGAAAGAACACCTAACATGCACACTAAAAAAACAAAATCATTATAGAAAGGTTGTTACTGCCGTTATCAATGATACTTTTCAAGAACTTTTCTGCTTCAACAGTTTCCTTTGATGATTGGTGATGAGCTGGTCGATGGGTTTATTTTGACGTAGTGCTGTTTGGATTGATATTGTTGCGTTCTCTGAATCTGGGCTGGGGTGGTCGTTTTATTCCATTTGAAGAAATAGACTATTATCAGACATTCATGTTATAAAAAGTACTCTTCTGGTTGCATCCATTCAGAAGGAAGCTGTGGAAACTGTTTGCTGTCTTGAAGTGCTGAATGAAAATATGTATGTTTTAAATTGTTTGCATTCCACTCAAAATGGTAAATGACTTGGTGAGTACCCCGAGCACATTCCCTGAATGACCATTAGGCCAGAACATGAAGTTCTGCTTGTAAATGTTTCTTGCTTCGCATTCATTCCGAAAATAAGTGGGATATAATACGAGAGCACTATTTACAGTACATTCCCTTGACAGTTTGTAAATATGTTGATCAGTATTTGCATGAGATGTTTATTGATGCATCAGGTGGTTTAGCTGCGTTCAGAGCCATCTGCTGTCCTGCCAATGATGATCGACTAGGAAAATCTGTGTACTTTATTTTCAAACGTGTGTTTTTACAGATGTGAGAGAACATGCCAACAGTTTGCGGTCAGTCAATTGGATTTATTTTATTTGTTTTTTTTAAAGATGCATACTTTTTATCTCGATTTCTAATGAATCCTGTTCTTTTTAGTTTTGTATTTAATGAGGAATATAGAGGTAAACATTGGTTCCACAAAAATATTAAAGCTGCAGTAGGCAATTGTCTTCAGAGACATTTTTTGTTGTGCTGGTTAAAAGTCTTTTCACATTCCAATAGTAATGATTACAGTAAACTATCTCAATGTATTTATATATTGTGGGTAAGGCATTAGACTAAAAAATGTTCATCCAATTAAAAATTGTCTGGCAGACAATTCCCATAATTCTGATAAGTAGCCCAAACTGTCATCAAATGTAGATTTGAACATTAGCATAATTGTTCACACAAATCCGCTGATGCATGCTCACGCGGACACAAGTAACAGCGCTAAAAACAAATGCTCAATCCTAGCCTGCTTTACTGAGGTGACATTGGTTTATTTTTGAACAATGACAACCTGTGATGCGCTCCCTTTATTGTTTACCGTGCTACTCTTAATATTCGCTCTGAAATAGCATGTAAGTACGGCTTAGTAATCAGTGTAATTCCTGCACGTCGCCGGCCAACCACTAAGCAAACAGTAGTCGCTTTAGGACAAAGCACGTGAGAGAGTGAGACTGATGAGAGAGTGATGACATTTTTGCTAGCTAACTACATAACTGAAAATATGCTAGATATAATAGTAGTTAAATATAATAGTCGCTAGACATAATAAATGTCGTTGGGGATTGTATTATAAAGTACTATTAAGTTTTCTAACTGGCGAATGACATCTTTGTCATCTTTAATGTGCGATTTCATGAGCCGTGGCTTTGGACGACAGTGGAGGGATTGTATTTGAAAGATATTATGCTAACCAGTCAGCATTTAGGCAGATCACCTACTGCACCTTTAAGCAGCACCAGTTTACAACATTCATAGACATATAACTGTTTTTGGGAAGCAATTTTTATATCAGAAGAATAACATTACAATGAAGACTGTTGATCATTCAGCTTTGCTACGACAGATATGAAGTCTTGAAAATCATATGACACAAAAATCTTGAAGTACTTTTAAAATAGTAATTTAAAAAAAAATGTCCAGTTGATCAAACAAAATGTAGCCTATGTAAGTAAACATTTAAAAAAAAAAAAAAGGGGGTCATAAGTAATGAATACCCACTGTAGAGTGCTTTATTTTCCATGTTGAACACAATTTAGCACTTGGATCTTGCCGATACAAATATGCTACAGTGATGAGCTCTTTGTTTTCAGGAGGTCAAAAATGATCCCGAGTCTAATAAGCATGAACTGTTTTTCTAAGTGCAATATGATCATGCATCAGCTATTTGTCCTGCTTTGTTTTCATTTTGAACATAAGCAGGCGGTCAGATCTTTCTCCATCTCGTCTGCCCTGAAGGTAAAGATCGGCCGTTAGGCTCATCAATATTTGAGCATGTGGACATATAGAGCAGATAGAATGACAGACAGGTGCTTAGTTTCTATTTGTCCTTTCACCAGTCCAGTGTCAACATCATATACGTACAGATGTTTGTGTGGATAAGCAGCTGTAGCCTTCTGTTAAAGGAAACATTCTTTGACTTGTTTAATGCTCTTGTGCATGTGTGGGATTTCAGTGCTCACTTATTATTTTTTTTTTATTGTAAAATAACTGTGTAAGTGAAATGCCAAACTAATATTTGTCCTGGATGTCTCTATATATTAGATTTATGAGTTATTTGTAATTTTGTATGGTGTTAATTGTGCTGTAAGGAATGGCGGTTGACAATAAGCAGCTGGTATTGGGATGTCCAGCCATATTTTTGTGAAGCCAAAGCATCATCGTGAATCTACATGTTGCAACTGACCGATGTATTTGTCTGCATGAATTCTGAATAAACCATTGATTCATAAGCCACCGCCGTCCATCTCAATAACTGTAAGAAGATGTTGGACACTTATTTTTGTTTTATTTTCATAACAAAAACATTTTGTCTTTCAGAACAAACTGTATGAAAGAACTACACGACGCCCACGTTACACCCAAATCTAACACATGGGCAAACTGGGATACAAGCTGGCTGACATTCATTTCAGTAACAATTTAAAAAACAAACAAATAACCAAAAAAAAAGTCACATCAGAGGGAGGAAAGGTGAAACAACTCCAGTGAAAGGAGCTGCAGAAATGACAGAAAAAAAAGATAAATAACCACTGGCTGATCTCATTAGTAAAACATTTAATCTGGTCGACGAAACAGAAATCAGAAAGAGCCTGTGTGCGTGTGTGAGAGAGAAACATCTGCTTACTGCAAAAGAGATTCTGCTTCATTGTCTGATCTGGCCAGTCACTAAATGGAAACGTGAAGGCATCATGATGTGCACACTGAAAGAGGCTCATGTTTAAACTAACAGGGACAAAGGTTTTTTTTTAAAAAGCTGCACAACGGTATGCTTTATTTGTAATTTTACAGAAGTCTTAAGGAAACTCGTGTCCCATTCATCCCCTCATCCACAGGAGAGAAGACATGGGCAGTGTTCGGGTATAGAGTAGTTTAGACCAGACTCATAACTCATCCTTCTCCAGATCATCCAGATCCACATCACTCAGGTCAATGTCATCCTCCATCGGCAACTGATGAAAGACCAAAGAAAGAATTGAGAAAAAGGGATAATGGACAAATAATAATAATAATAAATCAGGCATTAGATGGGAATTTGGATGTCAATTAAAAGTTTAGGTCATGTGTCGAGTCATTACCCTTTTTTCCATTCAAAGATGCAATTTAAATGTATGCACAAACCCTGAATAATCGCATAAAAGACGCGTGAATAAAGCGCGTTTCCATCCGACACAAAAAAAATCATCACTTCCTGATAAACTGGCTGCAAATATCAACAGTAGAAACGAAATTTGCTGCAGTAGAAGCTGCGCGAGTCTTCTCCTTGTTTAATAAATGACTTGCACCTCAGAAGACAAATACTGACATGCATGGTGGCATTTGAAGGCGTCAGACATGGAAAACAGACGCTTTTGACAGTTTTGCAGGTCATTAATAATATAAGAACACTAATACTGAAACGGTTGAGGCATTTTAGAATGACCAAAACAACATTTCAGATGTTTACAGTGTTCTCAGCCTGCTGATTTGTTCATTCACACATTTTTTTTTCCATCACATGATCTCTTAAAACAAAATCACGACCTTTAATTTGAAATTCTTTTAATTAAATATGTTCGGTAAAAGTGTTTCAACTGTAGTTTATGCGCATCTTTTCTAATCAAATAAAAAAGTTTATGCAACTCAGTTATGCTCATTTTAAAAAGGTATGCGCATCAGTGTTTCCATCAACCGCTTATCAATTTGCATAACAATAGGTGGATGGAAACAGCAAATGTCTAGGGTTTCAGAATGACATGCTGATGTTTTCATAAAATATTGCAATTTATCAATTAAGATTGGTTCATGCTGAAAAATTGTATTGCAATATGCGAGTATCATTCAGCTTTTATGCTGCTTTCAGTGTAAAGAGACTAGATTTGTGGTTAACCCTTTAATGCACTACATGGGTCTACAGTGAGCCGTCCAAGTTTATTTTTTCTAGATCTATTTTATAGCTTGTGCATCAAAGGGTTAAACCAATTGTTAATTAGAAATAAAAAACAAATAAAAACAATGCATTTTCTGACCATTAGATGGCGCTGTGCTGAGACAGAGCAGGCAACCTCAGGTCATTGTTGTCATAACACAGCAAATATTTAAGATGGTCAAGCATTGTGGAGATGCGTCACGTGCATTGGTGAGCTTTTCACCAGATTTATTCATGCTCGAAAAGAATAGGTCAACTAATCTGACGAGAACCGTTTAACAAATCAACTTGAGTCACCATGATTTGACGATATTAGATCTCTGCAACATTCATTAGTTATTCCTTTTAAGAGGAAACCAAAAAGGTACATTTCGATTAACACAGTGTCTGATACGATGGAAAAATCGAGTCTTAGAATTGTTTATTTTGCCTTTTAAAAATATTTTTATAAACCAATGCAAATTTGGCCAAAAGGTGGCGCTACAGAGTTTGAATTAGAAACTGCAAATTTACTGTGGTAAGTGTACAGACTGTCCTACATCTATGTGCCCAATCCCACAACTTTATGGACAGCACTAGCTTCGTAAATAGCAGATCTAGCAATAAATGAATACAAATGTTAAGCAGTTACAAGTTTCCTTCTGTGTTTTTATAAACATGAAACAGAATGCAAGATGAGTTCCTGAAAACTGCAATCTTCACAGGGAAAGTTTAAAGAATAACTGTTTTAAATAATGGTTTACACACACACAAAAAAAATAAACAAATTGTGTGTGTGAGATTATATATAAATTCTGTTGCACTACTACAATTGATTTTGGTTTTATTGTAAAAAAAAAATGAATAAAAAAGAAATAAAACAAGAAAATGTATTAAATGAGAATATTTTATAGCATACTTCAAAAAATAAAGATGATTTAAAAGGTTTTATTTTGAATTTTGCTTTTATACGGTCTTTCACATCACATTTTCAGATTTTTCATAGTATAGGTATTAATTCCAGTACTTTTACCATAAACCGACATGTCAACCATTTGGTAGAGGGTAATATTTAGAAAAATATGGGATGTGTTAAAAACATGCATTAAGTGCATTAGGAGTTTTTTTTATAGGTGGGGCAGTTAAAGGGTTAACTGAACCATTTAAAAAGGTCAAGGGGTAAGCATTAAAATAAAAAGTATTGAATTTCTTAAAGCTCTAAACACTCACCTCTCCATCTTTTCCATCCCAAGCCTGGACGGTGTTGATCTTTGGCAAGGCTCCGCCTCCAACCGTAGCAGTGGAGCCACGGCCAACAGAAAGTTCCCTGCATAAATAAAGACATTAATAGTTTCACGACATAAAACAGACCGACAGTAAGGAGGACCGCTCTAAACAACACCTTCAGTTTACAGCATCTGTGACGCAACTTGTTTCACCATAACATAAACGCCAGCCTTCTGTTACCTGAGGAATTCATGGATGCCCGTTTCACTGAATGAGCCTTTGAGCAGAGCGAACTTCATTTTACGAGAGTTAATGGCTGCCATGGCAGGATAGCCAAATCCACCAATCCCCAGAGAGGCTTCCAGCTCCATCTGCGCCCCTGCTTCAGTCCACAACCAACTGAAGACAGAGAGAAAGAGACAGAGAGATTTAACACTTATACAATATACCAACTACTAACAGCAGAACATGGTGGAAAAACACAACCACTTTATTGATGATGAATTATTTGTCCTAATTTAATCTCACACTAAGGACCTTTAAGAAAGAGAGAGAAAAGAGAGATAGAAAGAGAGAGAGAGATGGAGAGAGAGAGAGAGAGAGAGAGAGAGAGAGAGAGAGAGAGAGAGAGAGAGGTGTGTGATTGATTCCTGCTCTTTATTCCCTAAAGTCTGCTCTGTGGCACACAAGCAGTGACATGTACTGTTATTTATGGGCAGGCTGATTGTACTTAATGAATGATGCTGAAAACACTGACCCCCACATCTTCTTCTTATATTTCTCTGCCATCGTCTTCATCACCTCCAGGTAAGAGTTTCTTCCAGATGCGCCTGTGAGGACAGAGAAAACAGGCTGATGATGTTGAATTGTCCTCAAATTAACTGTGTTAAAGGAATAGTTCACACAAAATTAAAAATGTATTCATTTAGTCTCCCTCAAGTGGTTTCATACCTTTAGTAGATTCTTTCTTCTGTTATTCACAAGTATGTTATTTTGATGAAAGGTAAAAACTTGTAAACACTGACATACACAGTAGGAAAAACATACTTTGGAAGTCAATGGATACAGGTTACCAGCTTTCTTCAAAATATCTTTGTGCTTTTTTTTTCTTTTGTTGAAAGCAAAAGGTTTGAGCAAAGTAAAGGGTGAGTAAATGATGACAATATTAATTTTTTCTTTAATTGCTAAATAAAGTTGTAATAAATATAAATTATTATTAGATTATGCACCAACTGTTTCCTTGGCAACTAACTGAAACAAGCTGAAATACTAGAACTTCAAAAACTATCCAAGGCTGTAAACCTCACAGGAGTTACTCTGTCACATAGGAGTCACATACTGTAAGAAATGGCTGGGCCATTGGGAAAGGAGGAAGGAAGGAAGGAAGGAAGGGAAAAATAAGGCACATCTACACAATAAAATCAATAATTTATACACACACATTAAGAACAACTGAACAAACTAAAATTGGAATAAATTGGAGCCAAATAAAAATGTTAACAATATTACAAACCAAACATGAAAAGACACAGAGTATATAGAGAATAGGGATGCAGCGCTTAACCGATTTCACCATTAACCATGCTTTAATTCATCATGGTTAATTAATTGTAAAGGCTTCTCAACACAGCGTTTCTGCATGGAACAAAACAGCTGTAACTAAAAGTTAGGCCAACTGTGCACTACTTTAAAGTTCTGAGCTTGTACACCGAGGCCAATATGCACAAACACTGGATTAACTATGGCTGAGGCTTTCAAATAAGAGCCGTTCACACATGGAGTCTTGTGCGCAAGATCGTTATTTCCATTGAAGGCGAATGTTTCATGCAAGGGAGGCTGCATTTAATCTCTTTAAAAGAAAAATACTTAGCTAATTTGATGCTTAGATTTACATTAGACAAACACAATTGTTTTAATTTATTCTTATTTTTTATTATTTTTCATTGTTTTGTCAGTGTATGGTTATTTTGAGTGTAAAATTATTACTCATGTTTAAAAGCCAAAGTCTAAAAAGAAATGGACGATTGTTTGTTTTTTATTATTATTTTGTGCTGTATTAAGGTTATGAGCTGCAATAACTAACACTTTAACATAAGGAGTTTGCATGGGATTATTATTCCTCAGACTATAATCGTACAACCAAAATCTATAATCGTTGCATCCCTAATACAGAATACTGAAAACTACTTTTGAATTGCAAAATTTGACAGTTACTAAATACTAAGTGCAAACGATATCCTAAAAGTAAAATTACAGAACACAGAACATAAGCAGCACAATTAAACATCCATTACCATATACTACACCCAAACATTAATGATTTAAAACATGATTAGAAAAAATTAGTGTTACATTTCACCATATCGTACCTGTATCTAGAATGTGTGGCAGCACAGCTATGATGCACAGCTGATAATCCTCACAAGTCTTCTTTAAAATGCCTTCATTCAAAACCTAAACAAAAAAAAATATGCATCAAAAATAAAGTAACATCAGTATAAATCAGTCTCTAGCTAGAATTGTTAAACCATCTACAAAGCATTTTATGTGATAGCACAAACGTAAATAATGTACAACAGACAGACCATCCTCTTATTAAAGGTCTTGTGAAGTGCTTTGAAATGTGCATTTTTATTCAATGTTTAATGTAATCTCAACTGAAACATGAAGAGGGTGGGACAGTAGCTCCTCTTATAAAACAGTCAATAGCATTTTGCTTTAACACCACTGCCAGTGAGAGTGTTTGAGCTCAAGTGCATCAAATTTGAAGAGTCTGGAAGGGGGCGGGGCACGTCAGATGCTAGAGAGCATTTGATTGGTCATGATTTGATGAGAAACTGAAAAATGAGGTGACTTGAATAAAACCATAAAACCGTTGATTCATTAGGGTGACAAACTATCAGTTTTGCACCTTCTAAAAGCAAATCTTGTCACTGTTTTTGAGCACACTAGCTTATAAATATCCTAAAAACAACACTTATACAAATATGTAAAATACATTATTTTCATTTCATGGCACTTTTAAAATAGGCCTGGGCGATTTGGCCTAAAATAAAAATCTTAATAAATTTTTCATGTTAACTCGATTACGATTAATGAACAATAACTTAAATTATTGTTTTTTTTTTTTTTTTGCCCTCACAGTTATCCGACAGGTTTTGTACAGTAAATATGCTCACATATTACAAGTGAGAGACTTCTGACTGAAGGGTGCATTTCTTGATTTTGAAATAATTGTCAACACAAAAGTAAACACACACGATCTACTATCTATGATTATTTATTGAACATCAACGTTGAAAAACAGAAACACACACTTTGCTGTTTTATAAGAAAAGTTGGTTTAAGGCAAAGATAAATAACTTGCGCTTTTAGAAACAAAATAAATGATCAGTGTTTTTTATATTAAAGTAGAAAATAATTTTATGAAATAATAATTTTAATGTAACCAAAAAAAAATATGCCGTCTCTAGGCATCTCCCCGCAGCTTACAATCATTGTCAATTTAGTGCAAAGTAAGGCTCAAGAATTGGTCTATCATCCTACTTGACCAGAGATCAGATGTGGCTGCAAAGTGGCCGCAGAAGTATAAATTCACCTCAGTCTTTAACAGTGGGCTCACGTGATTCCACATGCATTAGGGAAAGCAATAAAAAAAAAAAATCATCCTGGAAAAATTAGGTCGATCATAGGTTCTAAATGTCAATTTCGATTAATTGCCCAGCTCTACTTTAAAAGCAGACAAGAGAATCTGGAACAATAGCTATGTTTCCATCCAAAAATGCAAATGAACTTTATGCGCAAAACTGAATTATTGCATAAAAAAACGTGCAAATAAAGCAGCATCTCCATCCAACGAGTCAAACCGAATATATATACCGAAAATAAAATCGTCACTGATTAACTGCCGCCAAATATCAACAGTAAAAACTGAATTTGCTGCATTAGAAGTTGCTTCAATCTTTTCTTCATCTAATGCCTCAGAAGGCAATCCTGACATGCAGTGAACGCGCGGTGGTGTTTGAAGGTGTCAGATGCGGAGCACAGACACTCTTGATTCTGGAGGTCAATAATAATACAATAACATTAACACTAAAACGGAAGGCATTTTAGAATAACCAAAACAACAGTTTAGGTGTTTTACAGTGTGCTCAGCCTGCTGGTTTATCTATTCACACAAATTTTCATAATCACATGATCTCTTATCACACAATCACATGACCTTTTTTTAATGCGCATACTGAAATTTGTGTGGTAAAAATGTTTCCATCGTAGTTTGTGCGCATCTTTACTTATCGAATAAAGTTTATCCTACTCATTTATGTGCATACAATTTATGCGGATTTTCAAAATTTATGCGCATAAAAATAGGTGGATGGGAACATAGCTAATGTAACCATAAACAATGTGTGTTTTTTTTATTTTATTTAAGATTTTATCATTTTTTTATGCGATTATTACATTGTTGATTATTGTACGATTTAATATTTTGGAATGTAAAATGTTCTAAATGTATATTACATGTCCTCAATAAAAATAATGTAATAAAAAGCAGAGTAGAAAAGATCACCTCTTGCAGCTCAGGAGCCGGGATGTTATCAGAGTACAGCTCCAATGCACGAGCAACAATGTCAGATCGGGTTCGTCCACCCTGATAGTCCTCAGGCTCCTCTCCTTTACGAAAGACTTTGATAGTCGGGAATCCTCGAATCTACCAATAAAACAAAGCACACAATGTGTTCAAACGCACCGAACAGAAATGATTCAAACATTAAAATGATGAACAGATCTAATAAATGTGCTCTTCATCCAAAATGCAGGCGGGATATTACAGAGATGTGAAATTAAATTAGAAACATCTATCATTTATATGAAAGACATAAAATAAGTTTGATTTCAGACCTACCCCAAAGCGGCTTGCCAAGCCCTGGTGAACAGTGGCGTCCACAGCAGCCAGTTTCACTTTCCCCTTTGTCTGCTCTTTGACTTCTGTGGCGGCCGCTGTCCATTCCGGCTCAAGACTGAAAGCGGTAAAGAGAGTCAACACGGGAAAGCCCAGCCAGCAGAGGAATTTCACTGCGTCTTAGAATGCATATTAATAATTGAACATGGATTCAGCGTGTCAATAATGCATGGCACAGCATGTCAGGTAGTGTTTCAGGGCAATGACAGACAGATCTCATGATGTGTGTGAGACATTGAAAATGCGCATACTTTTTGCAGTGTCCACACCAGGGGGCGAAGAACTCGACCAGCCAGACATCATCGCTCTCCAGCACGGTTCGGTCAAAGTTATCATCAGTCAGCTCCACCACATCCTTCTTATTGCCCGCACCACCTCCACTCTGATCACAACACAATCCAAAAGTCAAACAATGGCAGGAATCATCTCAATAGGCTATATGCAAATGGACTTTTAATTTTCAGCCAGGCAGCCCCAGGATCTTTCCATTACGAAATGTTCACGTTTAAGATCTGATTTCTTCGTTAGATATACAATATGAAGTGGGTCTCAGATCGGACAAGAAGCACTGCATTAAATTCCAGTTCTCCCTGCCATGTCTTTAAAATATGACAGTTTGTTTTACACCAGTTACAATGGTCTTTCATCTCATTTTACGCTTGAACAACTAAATGAATGCTTAAGTCTATTTAACTGAATATATTATAATTACTTTACAACATTGATGCTGTAAAAACACTTTCACCAGAAGTTTATCATTGACTATAAAACTATAGCTGTCTATAGAGCCCATTAGGTCTGTCAAAGCTGCTGGTACTAAATGGAAGATTTAAAAACATCACTGTGCTCCAGAGATGTACGTGTTATGCCACTAATATTGTTTTGGTTACAGCTTAGTCTTACTTTTCATTTTCTTTTATATTTTATTTTAATGGCCTGATCTCAGGCTCTGCTGTAAATGGTAATAAAAAAAAAGAATTTAAAAAAAAAGAGACAAAGTCAGTTCCAGTCTTTCGAAAGTAAATTAGTATCTGACACAAAAACATAGCATAAATTTTTTCCTAAGGTTTCTGTTTGCAACATTTTGTCCTGCAGCATTGAGAATAGTAAACGATTACAGTTATGTTTGTTAAATGGGCAAATGCATTGGCCAATAAGAGATGTTTATCAGAATCCACTCAATATGCAGAATGAACTATCTACAATCATGAATCATTTTAATATAGTACAATAAACAAGATGTAAATTTAGTAAAATAAAAGGATTCATGAAGCAATACAAATATTTACTTATGACTGGCTTCTCTATTTAATCCATCTATAGTTTGAGTAACATCTTCATAAATATTGTAATTGAACTGAATTTGAAATGCTGCAATGTTTTAAACGGATTGATATATTTCATGTGATTTAAAAAGTGAATATTTTAAACACAATCAGGCAAAAGTGAAGTACAAGCAAGTTAACTAGAACTGGAAGTTTTCAATTAGCCTGTGGTGATTATGTAATTTTACTTTCATGCAGGGGCAGACTTAACCATTAAGTGAGGCAAGCAGCCGCTTAGGGTCCCAGGGAATTAGAGGGACCCGACCAATGCCAAGAAGCCTATATTAATTATACAGCTCTTTTTTAAATTTTCTATCATGCTTTAAAATGTGTCGATAACCATTAAGATTAAAGTTATTACTTATTTTTTTTAACTGGGGGCCCCCCATGAACTGTGAAATGTTGCTTCTGTACTGCACATGCAAATATTGAAGTCTTATCACAAATATGGCTACTTAACTGTACATACAGTTATTTTGTAAACTTGTTTTGTGTGTGTGTGTGTGTGTGTGTGTGTGTGTGTGTGTGTGTGTGTGAATTTATTGTATTTAATTTTACATTATGATAAAGCTGCCACTTAAAATGTATTTTAACATGCAATTTATTTACATAAATTAATCTACAGAGAAAAAAAAAGAAATATCTATAGCAAAAAAAAATTAAAAAAAGAGTGTTTTGAGTTCTAATGCTAGGACCCCATACCTGGAATTGCTTAGGGCCCCCAAATCACTAAGGCCCCGTTTACACTAGTGCGTTTTAGTTTTAAAACGGCGTTTTAGAATGAAAACGATCCGCGTCCACACTCGCGTTTTACCCAGCGTTTCTAAACAGCTCTCCGTCCACACCAAAACGCTGAAAACGCACATCACGTGACCACACACACACTCTCGGGCAAGCGCTGCAGCCCATATACCCAGATGAGAGCTCTGCTAGTCGGACTTCTCATCAAGCATCTCCCGCTGGATCTAATCTCACTATATTTATTAAACGGGATATTTCATTTATCTTGTTGTCTTTATCTAACGACATATTCCCTGACTTTGGGCATTGGAATCTATTACTTGTTCTCAGGTAACGTGTTTTGGCTGAGCGCAAAGATAAATTAATGATTAATGTAACCACGTAGCCTACATTCTGTATATTGACTGATCGCTTGCCTTTATTTCCTATAATGTATAAACTTATTGTATGTTATACTTTTAAAATGGCCATTATCGATTATTAAAACTGATACTCAGCAAAAGAGAGGGTTTGTTTCGTATTTTCACTGAAATTGAAAGGAGGCAGTTGTTATCGGCTCCGTTTTGTTATAAATATCCACACAGTGAAGATGACGCTCATCTTATGCAGCACGACGCCTCAACATGTCTGCTGTCTAAGTTGCTAATATTAAAATGAAAATAGGCAGTTCCTTAAATCATGTTTACATTTTATTGTTGAGAAAGTGAAACAACGAAGCCAGGGTGATGTGAATGAAGTTATAAAGTACACTGTTCCCTTTGAAGATTTACCCGTGTCCTAGGTATAATCTGCTTTTCCATATCAAACTGAGAAGAAGAGACTGCAGCCTTGATCAAACTTGCGAAGTCTGAACTTACACGGAGAGAATGCAGGACTGAACTGTGCGTGTTAGGCTACTTAATATTCAGGAAAAGCCCCAATCAGAGAGGCGAACGTCTGCAGCCCCGCCTCCGTTTTCAGATGTCTCCGTTTTCCATCATCCACACTGAGACGGAGCAGCAGCGTTTCAGAATGAAAACGGCCTCTCCAGCGTTTTCAAAACGCTCCGTTTTCGGCGCTCGAGAACTCCGGCGTAGTGTGGACGGTTGGCGTAACCGTAGCAAAACTTATGCGTTTTCAAACTAAAACGCATTAGTGTAAACGGGGCCTAAGTCCACCCCTGTTTGTATGTTTATTTTTCAATAGGTGCACAGCAGATACTCCTATAAACGGCATTGTATGCAGAGTAAGCAGCATCAGGATGTTAACTAACATTGTCTTGCTGGTCAAGCATTTTAGCTTTTTTTTTTTTTACCCCCAATTAAATTAAATATATATATTTTTTTATATCTACTGAGAATTAATACAATGCTTATTTAAAATCTAATAATATTTATACTGTATAAGTTGTATTTAAATAAAATAATATAAGACTATGCTAATATTTAATGTATTATTTAGTAATAATTGCATAAAAATAAAACAAATTGTATTAACTATAGATTTTTTTAATCATCATGCTGAGCTTCAATACCTGTCTGCTGTAGTCTGAGCCTCCTGTCTTTCCACCAAGTCTGTCTTTAACCAGAGAACGAAGAGCATTCAGAGCTGCGTCTACAATGGCTTGATTTGTACGGCCACCTAGGACAAAGAGAGAGAACAAACACTACTTAAAAAAGTAACAAAAGACTTTCATATGGACATCAAAACATTCTTTGTTCATGGGCCAAGAGTTTTTTAAAGATGCAGTACTCAACCTTGGTAATCCTCTGGCTTGTGTTTGTTGCCTCCAAAGATCTTGATAGTCGGAAAGCCTCGGACTCCATACTGGCCTCCCAGAGAGTTGTGTTGATCGGCATCCACAGCGCCCACCTTCACAATGCCCTGAACCAAAAACAAATTATAGTAGTGACTGACAACATACTGTATATCCATTTTCAGCAAAAGAGAAGAATGCAAAAGCAAAGCCAAACTAACTGCTGTAAAGTTCTTATAATGTTGTCCTTAACTCAGAATTTACCTTTAAAGCTGTGGCTGCTTTCTTCCATTCGGGAGCCAAACTCTTGCAGTGACCACACCTTTAAAAAAAGGAAATAGTATGTCAGACATGCCACATAATCATTTAAACACCATTACAAAACATACAGCCATAGAGATGCACTAATGATGCAACATTTGGAAACGATGACTAATGAGATGCAAATCATGATGCAAATAAAGTGCCAGTGACAGCAGGATAACTACTGTAATATATATATATATATATATATATATATACACCCTTCAAGAAAATAAATTCAAGCAATTCCAGCATTATGGATGTGACATTTGCAGTAAAAATTCAAAACATAAATTCACAGAGAAAGTCTATGTAAACATTATACTGAAACATCTGTTTATATTTCCAGAACAACTAACCACAGAGTTAAGGGACCAGAAAAATATCAATCTGTAAACACATTGTACTTTAAATGAGGCAAATAAACATTTATGAGTTATAAATGTGACCAAAAAGTATGCAAGTTTGTAGTATACAACATTCTTTGTAGAAATTCTGTGAATTAAACTGCACAATCCAAAAGAAACAGTGCTAATCAAAAGGATAAGAGTTGGCTCACTATTAAAAAAAAACGATTTATTTTATTTGATATTTTTGCATTCATGAGAAAAAAAAGCTTGGTTATGGATGTGACACCTCTCCGTTATGGATGTGACAGATGTGAAATTGCCACTTGTGTGACTTTAGTAAATCAAACATAATAGTTTGAAAACATTGTCAGAGACTTTTTTGAGTAATTCTAAAGTACTGTAAAATACTTGTTTACACACAAAAAAAACTTGGAAACAGTTTCTGTATTTTGGTAAAAATGGTAGGCAAATGGCAAGGTTGACATTTGCATGGAATTGTTTAGTCATTAAAATAGGGCTTCTACACATCTAACTAACAGTGATCTCTATCAGCGACAAAAATCCAGATTCACTCATCCAACTTACCAGGGAGCATAAAACTCGACCAGCCAGAGACTGTCACTCTGAATGACTTCTCTGTTAAAGTTGGATGGGTTGAGTTCAACCACATCATCACTAGAGGTGTAGAGACCGTAAGCAGACAGTACAGTCAGAGAACACGCCAACACACCTGAGAAGATAAAAAAAAAAGTGTATTTTAGCTTTGTATGGGAAAAAAAACACTACCCTGTTTTGAACTAGAACATCATAAAACATAACTCAAAACAAACAGTACTTTCTATTAACTTTACTAGACTCACATATAATAGATCGCAGAATTATTATCCACTCTCCAAACAGCCAACAATATATAGGAATAGAGCAACAAGATGAATATGCTGTACTGTACAAGGCCAACCCATCATAAACACACTAACGTTACAACAACTACATGCAGTGCTAAATTTACAAACAGTAAACAAAAGCTTACTAAATCCCTATCCAGTTGTTTACAGAGGATTTATTCCATTTCCCAATCATATCAACCTCTGTCCATCAAACTGTACATGCTAACTAACAATAAAGATAGGTTGTGAACGTTACATCTCACACTCTGTTAGCAATCTGATTTGAGCCACTAAAACGAGTCTCTACAGCAGAATTCGCGACTTTTTATCATAATAACTCACCCAGGAGCGCTCGCATGGTTATTCTTTGTGCTTATTCAATGTATGGTTCAGATGATCAGGGTGTGCAGATCTGTGTGCGCCGCGTGAACTCTCCACCTCAACCAGCCGGTGTTCCGGAGAATTCAGTTCCCCTGTTCCCCCATTCACAGCGCATGCGCAACTTTACGGCTGATTCCATGTACACAAATCATGACGTCATGAATTCGCTTCGCGAACTGAAACAGTTCATGGTTGTTTTGCTGTATTTTCGTAAGCCCGGTGTTTATTTCATCACAGAGTTCATAAAATTTTGTAATTATTTGCTTGGACACCCGTGTCTATTGTATTGTTCCTGTTTTTAGCACGCGTTCGCTTGTTTCTTTCAAACAGTTGCCTTGTCGAAAAGAATAAACCATACTACACTGCACAAATTATAGTGTGTTTTATTTCAGATAAATCACAGTGATACTTGTGTTGTTTTAAAAGACATATTTACGTAACTTGTCATGTATCTTCAGAAAGTGACTTTACATTAAAAACACAGGAGTACAGATTTTCCCGAAGCAGAGGAAAGTGTTACTTTCTGAGGATTGGAAAACACAATATACAATGCCTTTTTAACATCAGATTTAAATCTAACAATTTCGTACACTAAAAAAACATAAGTAGGCCAAAATTAAAAGGATGTTACATTAAATGAGTTTACTATTTGAACCACATTATGCTTACATATATATATATATATATATATATATATATATATATATATATATATATATATATATATATATATATATATATAAACTAGCAAAAAAAAAAGCTAAAATTTTTTTAAACGAACCAACCAAAAATACGTGCACATTTTCCAGTGTTTAAAGCAAGCTAAGCAATAATATTCTTCATTATAGGCTGTACAATATATCTTATCAGCATTAATATTGCAATGTGCCCATCTGCAGTAGTCACATCTGCAATGTTGAGCAGCACAGGAGTTCAGAGAACATGTGATTTGTGGAGTAGCTGCAGATTTTAACCAAAATTAAATAAAAAAAATATTATTTGCTTGTGATTTCAAAGAGTTTAATACATTCAGGCACAAGAAATTAAAACTTTTATATCTTAAACAAATATTAATTGTACTTGTTTTTTTATATAGAGAAGACTAGTGTTAATTTACATTTGATTATTCAATTTCTGTACTGAATGCTCCAAAAAAACAAAAAAATGAAAAAAAAAACAAACAAACACAAAACACTGTTTATCTCAGCAGTTTTGTCTTTGCCCTGTTTATCTATGCTTGTAAATTGTTTTATGCATGATTCAATCAGTCCCCTACAAAATCATGCCAATCAATGTAAAATAATGAATTATTTTCTAACAGAGCTATTTAACCAATCTGGTGTAATAGTTTTTATATCACAATATATAAGGCAGAACAACAAAATATTGCAATATTAGTTTTATTTTGTTTTTTCAATATCGCACAGCCGTATTCTGCCAACACATGACTGGTGATAACCACATCAATCACAGGCAATCTGAAAGATCATACAGGGTAATTACCTACAATTGCCTCAAACATTAAAATAAAGTTTTAACAGCTTTTGTCAATTTAACAAGTAACAAAGGTACAAAAATTGTTAAAAATAAAAAAGTACCCATTTACCCAAGCAGGTGAATGCATATGGTCATTGTGTAATCCACAAAAATAACATAAATCACTGTAAATACACTTTTCTGAACATATAAGAGTTTAGACAATTATACCATTAAAAAATGTCACCAGCATCACTGTAGTGCCTTTCAAATCCACAAAAGGTAATATATAGGAGTTAACACTTCTTTGGGCAATGTAAAAAAAAAATTCCCATGCCTTTTCAATGGTAACATCCCTTTATACATAGTAAAAAAGTTAAAAAAAAAAATGTTGAGCCTATCTTTTAATTGTATTCTGTGCTGTATCCTAATTGTTGGTATCCTAATTGTTGTTTATGTCCTTTCTGCAGATGATAACTGTTGGAGACAATTATTAGATTAAAAAGACAGAAAATCTGTTCTCATGTGTTTTCATATGCAGATAAGTGACAAATGTTTGCATTAACAGTCTATGCAATTTTTAAACATTACAAGCATCATCGTGACTTACCTAAAACAAGAGACACTAATTTTGCAGTGCTATTTTCTCGACAAGGCTTATTTGAAAGACAATGCTTGTTTGAAAGAAACACGAGAAAACACGCACATCACGCAGACATTAACAACAAAACAATTAATGAGTGCGTGCAAAAATAACAATTTCAAAATATAATAAAAAATGTTTAATGCAACCAACATTGGGCTTGTTAATACAGCAAAACCAACACGATTTTTGCTTATTTTATTTTCACAACCAACACGAATTGATTCACTAGCGAAGCGAAAGCATGACGTCATTACTGAGAATTAGCGCATGCGCTGTGAAGGGGGAACAGGGGGAACTGAATTCTCCGGAACACCGGTCTCCAACCAGAAGCAAAATATTTCAACGCTGTCGTACCGTGGCCCGCGCTGATTGGCCCGCCTGAACCCGGAGACGAGCTCAGCCAATAGGAGCTCGACGTGTAGTTCTGCGCCTCGGCGTTGTACGGTGAGCAGGAGGATGCAAAAAGTGAGTATCCAATAAAAGTCATTTGTGACACTATCATCAAAGTGTAACGTACATTTCTGAAAATGGAGTTTTATATTCCACCTTAAAGTTGTAGAAATAAGCTTTCTATTGGTGTATAGTTTGTTAGGATAAGATATTGGGCCGACAAACTTGAAAATCTGTAATCTGATGGTTAAAAAATATAAAAAAAAATTTGTTGAGAAAATTTGGATTTAATATTAAACAAAATAAGTGCTTATTAATGCACATTAATAATTAAAAATTAAGTTTTTATTTGTTTACAGTAGGACATTTACTAAATGTTTTCATGGAACATGGCATTCATGCATGGCATTTAAAAACTATCTAATTTTATCCATATGTACTAACCCGCCATTTTATTAGGTACACCTTACTAAGTAGTTGGACCTCTTTTTGCCTTTGGCATAGATTCAACAAGGTACTGAAAACATTCTCAGAGATTTTGGTCCACATTGACATGAAAGCATCACACAGTTGCTGCAGATTTGTCGGCTGCACATCCATGATGCAAATCTCCCGTTCCACCACATCCCAACGGTGCTCTATTGGATTGAGCTCTGTTGACTGTGGAGGCCATTTTAGTATAGTGAACCCATTGTCATGTTCAAGACACCAGTCTGAGATGATTTGTGCTTTATGACATGGCCTGTTATCCTGCTGGAAGTAGCAAACAGAAGAAGAGTACACTGTGGTCATAAAGGGATGGACATGGTCAGCAACAATACTCAGGTAGGCTGTGGTGTTGACACAATGCTCAATTGGTACTAATGGGCCCAAAGTGTGCCAAGAATATATCCCCCACTCCATTACACCACCACCACCAGCCTGAACCGTTGAAACAAGGCAGGATGGAGCCGTGCTTTCATGTTATTGACGTCAAATTCTGAACCTATCATTGGTAAGCCTTTGTGATTTGTAGACTTAGTTTCCTGTTGTTGGACGGTGTGGTCTTCTGCTGCTGTAGCCCATTTGCCTCAAGTTTGGACATTTTGTGCGTTCAGAGATGCTCTTCTGCATATCTTGGTTGTAATAAGTGGTTATTTGAGTTACTGTTGTTTTTCTATCAGCTCGAACGAGTCTGGTCATTCTCCTCTAACCTCTGACATCAACAAGGCATTTGCGCCCACAGAACTGCCCCTCACTGGATATTTTCTCTTTTTCAGACCATTCTTTGTAAACCGTAGAGATGGTCGTATACGAAAATCCCAGTAGATCAGCAGTTTCTGAAATACTCAAACCAGCCCCTCTGGCACCAACAACCATGCCACATTCAAAGTCACTTTTTCCCCATTCTGATTCTTGATTTGAATTGCAGCATATCGTCTTGAACATGTGTAACCCTGCCAGTCCTACGCCACCCAACCTGCTTCGAGCTGGTATCAAAGCTGCGACCTTCTGCATGGGAGTCGGTTGCTCCACCAAGGAGGCTAAAGACCACGGCCTCTAACATCTGTCGCTAGAGCACCTTTAGAGGTCAGAGGAGTGAGGTTTACCTGCACAGAACTTCACCAGCTGGCCTCCGTTACACATGTCTAAATGCATTGAGCTGCAGCCATGTGATTGGCTGATAATCAGTTGGACAGGTCTATAAAGTGCCTATTTTTGCCTATTGCCAAAAATATGGCCATGCAGGTTTTGTCTTCCAAGTTCACACGTGAAGTGAAATAAAATATTAAATATAAAATTTTATACTCTCCCACAGCCACTTTATGTAAGATAAAAACAAGATGCATACATGTGCAATATTTATAATGCTGAACTACTTTATATGAATGTCATGAATAAAAAGAACACATGCTCATAGAAAGCTTTTCAGTCATAACATTATATTGAATTTTACATAAAAGTAGCTTTAAATCAAAAGCCCTAAATTACTCTGATGATACACGCAACAAAAATGGGTACATTGTTTTTACCCATTGTGTGTGGTGGAAATGATTTTTTTAAAACAAATGACTGAAATAACAAATTAATTAAACCAGACAGTGCAAAACAGGTTGTTGCCATGTGCCAAAAAGCATAATTTTAATAAAATCTAAACACACAATTGATAATTTTCAGAACAAAAACTTATACCACATATTCATATGTAACCTTTTATTTAAATCCATTAAATCATAAATGATAAATATTGACTGGGCATTAGGTGCTGGCATCAGAAGACTATCCAGAGATGTTGAAGAGCTTCTGCATGAAAGCTGAAGGCAGAGAAAAGAACAGGAGGCCCAAAAAGATCAGCCCGGTTATGATGAGCAGAGTCACCACTGTGACCAACTTATACTGCCGCCAACACATTATGCTGGTCACCCGAATCGGACTCAACAGCCACGACAGGCTGGTAGTTGGACGACTGTGTGAAAAAGAACAAGGTTATAAACTCTCTCACACATGCATACTCAAACTATAGAAACAAGAATCACGTTCAGTCCTTTTACTTCAATGAGTTCATTTTATTATGTCATCATACTGACAAAAATAAATAAATCAATCCATATTGCACACTTGTAAACAAGAATTAAAAATACACTCTTTTATATAAACAAGCCAAAATCAGTGCAAACATATCCATGGTTAGTTTACCATTCATTAAATAGACCAATAGTAAACGGCAAGCAAACTAGTGTACACCGCAAGCACAATCCACAGCATGGAGTATAAGAAAGAGCATTCTCGTATTGTTTAAATTGAAAATGTCAAATGAGACATCATTCCTCTACTTGTGTCTGTGTGTTTCTATAAAGGATAAACATTATGGAGTACAGAAGATTTGTGTCAGGGACTGAAAGTGCAAACATCAAGGCAAAATGTAATCAAATTACATACTCTATACGAGGCCTGCAACCCTATCATGATTTTTTTTTCAGACTGCAGCTACTGATGAACAAGTCATCTTTCTTAAGACAAATTTGCATGCTTATTGTGCTTTTAGCAGCAACACAAACACATCTAGACCAAAACGACAAAATATTGAATCTGAATGCATTCATATGAATAAATCGTGAAAATGCTCAACCAGCTTATTCAATTTCGTACCAAAAATAGACACTTTGCTGCTTTACTTTTCTCCCTATGAGTTGTTATTCTTTAAATATACAAAGACAAACAAGATAATTGATCTTTCTGGGTAATACATGCAAACCGATACCTAAAAAGTCCAGATATTTGATACGTTGCGCTTAACATGAGGTACGCTAAATTCTAAAAGTTAAAGAAGTGCTTTAAATTCTAACCAAAAATAAGAAATGGGCCGCTTGAGAAATCAGAATCTCTCAAACTAACGTTTCAGATCTCTCTTTAGGCCCCGAGCAGCTTCTTGACCAGATAGCCTGGCATGCTGTAGAGAAACAGGCCCACCATGATCAGCAGCAGCAGAGCCAACACAATCTTGATGATGAGCCACTTGTAGCGGTTGCATATCAGGTAGCGGATGGCCTTCAGTGGGCTCAGAAACCACAGGAAGGTGGTGTCGGGCCGGCTGTTATTGGATGTGAAGAGGTGATGAAGGTAGGTAGGAGGTGGTGAGTTGGAAGGTGAAACATGGAAGATGGAGGAAGAGAGGTAATATATATGTTAGTGGTTAGTAGGATGATGGTATCCTGATCTCTTAAAGCAGGGGTGCCCAAATTTTTTTCTTATGAAGGGTCAAAAACCAAACTTGACTGAGGGTGGTGAGCCAAAGCTAAATATACCAAACTGTGTTCCATTAAAGTTGCCATGGTAACTTCCTAATTTAAAAATATTTAAATATTTAAATTATATATATATATAATACTTTAATCATTTCAATAATGATTAAATGATTATAATAATCTCATTTATAACACAATGGAGTTCAATGGGGGGCAAAATATCTGTCAACATCTAAAAAAAAAGTGCTTTAGGCTATTCATGACCCTTTAAAATCTGATAAATTCACATTTAATTGATACATTTAATTTCAGTTTTTTTTGTAGCTCTGCAATTAAACAAATACACAAAAGAATGTGTAAAATTAGAAATGGCGATCTCTAATTGAGGGATTCACCCCAATCAAACCCATCATTTTTCCATTTCTTCTCTGATTGGTTGGGGGGGACTTTACCATGGGAAAACTTTAGCCCACGGGCTCTTAATGGCATAGTGCACCCCAAAAAATGTAGTTTCAAACCATTATGACTAACTTTCATCTGCTGCTGACCACATAAGATATTGAAAAAATGTTTTATGTTCATAAAGGAAGTTTAAATGGGATCCGAACAACATTCCCATCGACATTCATTGTATGAACACTTGATCAAATTTGATAGTTTTAAAAATTTTATAGTATTTTTTTTTTTTACCTTTATGACTTATTTTCTTCTGCTGAACACAAATGAACTAACTTTGTCCACTAAAGACCAATAATGACATTTAGAAATTTTCAAATAAATTTGAATCGAGACAACATATATAAACAATATGAAGAGCAGCCATTTTCATTTCTGTTGTGGGTCTGTGTTAGAATCAGGACTGTAGGAGGAAGTTGTGCTTTTTTGTCATATTTTGCCATTAAACTAAAGAATACAGACGGCAAAGTTGAAATCTTCTCTGGTTAGCACATTATTTAACAATCTCCTAAAGTGTTTTGAATCACTTTTTAATTTATAGCTTGTTACACTTGTGGTGGAAAAACCAAATATAGCACATTTTGAATTTTTTTTTTTGTTCTCAGCTATTTTTTTTTTCAATTAGAACAGGTTTTTTTTATTTCCTATTGGAACTAAAGGATCCCAGATCTCATTGGTCTGAGCTTAGCGACTGGCCATTGAAGTGAATAGGAGAGTTCACATGCTGTACAGCATAGGTCTCAAACTCGATTCCTAGAGGGCCGCAGCCCTTCACAGTTTTGCTCCAATCCGAATCAAGCACAGTGTATGCAACTTATCAAGGTGTTCAAGACTACTTGAAACTATATGTCCAGCTAGTCCAGCAAAACTAAAAGAAATAAAGACTTTCTCCAGAAGAAAAAATGAAAGGAAATACTGTAAACATTTTCCTTGCTCTGTTAAACATCACTTAGAAAATATTTGAAAATGAATTAAAATCTCACATTATCCACTAAGAATGAATTCATCACCTAAAAACTCAAACTCAAGTATACATCAATCAGACAATCAGTTCAATCCAGTATGTGGTGATGATATAACATAACATTACAAACAGTTTGTAAGCAAATATTCAAAGGCCAGACAATTTTGACTGAAAACACCAAAGATGGTATTGAATTTTCAACACAAATTCCCATTTAAATAATGAAAATTGTAGTAAAAGTATTTTTTTAAAGTTAAGTTATTTTATTGATTATTATGTTTTAGTTAGTGAGGTACACTGTCATTCTACAAGAGCGAGTAACAGGGATATTTATCATTGTAGATTTAAGAGTGAAACACTTGTGCACTAACTACGTTGCCTAAAATGAATTGCCTAGAAATTTGAAAGAGATTAAATTTGAGAGTGTTTTTAGAAGGGAAATTAAAAAATTGTTGTTTTATGATTGAAGTTGAGGATTTTGTTGTAGTGAGTTGCTGAGCTGATGATGTTTGCACTCCATTTATGATTTGCTTGTTCATTTTTTAAGAGTATTAAGGACCACAATGGAAATAAGCATGTGTTTTTTTTTCATCCATGACAGTTTTTAAAATACAGTATTTATGAATTAGTCTAATTGGACTTGTTTGTATATTTTTCTTAAAATTGTCAAATAAAATCAATCAATCAATTAACACAACACAGGGGATTAGGTCAGTTGACAGAGAGTAGGTGGTCTTTTGTGGCCAACCTAACCTCTGAAAGTCATTGAAAGTCGGCAAGCTCAAACCATTTCAGACCTGCATGTAGAGGTATCCAGTTTGTATTTGTTGTCCATTTGCACTGTTGTCAGACTGAAGTGTACAACATTTAAATCAGGTAAAACAGGGTTGGAAATATTTTGAGCTTGTCCACTTTTAAACAACCCAAAAAAAGTTATCTTTGACATTCTCTTCTGATTACTGTGAGTCACAGAAGAATAAAACGTCAATCGGGTTAGCAACGACATGAGGGTGAGTAAAAACATTCACCTAGGACTACCACATATTTGCATGATACTGTAAATTTAAAGTGGGTTTAGCAGTAAAAGAACAGATCAGGCAACAGATGTAAGTTCAGAAAGCACATTAGCAGACAGTCAATGACAAATCTCAAAAATCCATAATAAAAAATGCAAGTCTTTAGCCCCAAACAGACAACCATAGGCAAATGACAAGCACAAAGACCTGAGACACAAAATGACACACAGATATGCATTAAAAAACAGATGGGATGAAAGAGGGGTGACTAAATGGAAAACAACGAATCCCCCACAATCCCTCAGATCCATATCGTGGGCCTTTAAAAATGGTATGAGTAACAAGAATACAGATATACTCAGAAAAGCTGTGAAAAGCTGAAAAGACAGCAAGCAAAGAAAACAAAGGCACAGAGAATGGGCTACCAGTGGTCTTCCCATTTCTCCTCAAGCCCCTAGGAGTTTCTTGACCAGGTATCCAGGAATAGAGTAGAGGAAGAGCCCAACGAGGAGAAGGAGCAGCAGCAGAGCCAGAGCCTTCAGGATCAGCCAGCGGTAGTTGTGCCAAATGAAGTATCGTATGGACCTCAGAGGGTTCATGAACCACATTAGACTGGTGTCTGGACGACTTTTTCCAAAACAGGAATGGAGGTTGGAATGAAGGAAACGAACGGGAAGGGTAGGCGGAGGAAAGGGCAGGCACAGGAGGAAGGAAGGATGTGAAACAGGAGAGTGGGAATATTAGAAAGGGAAGAAAATGCTTCTGACTTAAGCCCATTTCATCTGGCAGTGTTTGTGTCATACCTATAATTATCTACAGCTTTTATATGAGACTCTTTATGTCTTCTTTCTTTGGCTGTATAATTAGACTGTAGACCCAAAATACTCCATGTATGGAGTGTAAAGTGCATGTCTGTTTCTGCTTCAGTGTAAAACTAGGGTTTTGTGAATTTATTTAGCTACATTACAACTTTATTTTCTGAAATATTGATGAATCAGATTCAAATGTCAGTCCAATTTTATAAAAGAATTAGTTTTAGCAATGATGTAATAATTAGTTTAATAATTAAACTTAAATAAATCAGCTCTTTTGAACATATGAATGCTGATACATTCTGGTTTAATCAATAGCACCAAATCAGCATATAAGAATGATTTCTGAAAGATCACTTGACACTGAATTAAATGTGCTAAAAAAAAAAAATAAAAAAAAATATATATATAAATATAAATATATATATATATATATATATATATATATATATATATAATATTTCAGTAGATTACTGTTTTAATGGGTTTGATCAAGAACTGTAAATGCAACTGTGATGATTACAGACCCCTAACCACAGTATGAACTGTACAGTAGTATCACAATTGCAGCTTCTTCTTTCTTCTACTCTACTTATTACTAACTAACTAACAACTACTGCAGGGTTTCTGCAGGTTTCCCCAAGTCAAATTTAAGGCCTTTTTTAAGACCATTATGAATGAAATTTCTGACTTTTACAGGACAAAACACAAAGGATATTTTGGAATGGCCAATTGAATATTTTTTTTTTTTACTTGCCCCATTAAAATTTAAATTCTGTTATTTCTTAGCCACATATTTTAAATAATGTGTCAAAACACAGTTATATATTACCATAACTTAAAAATGACAAGTTTTAAAAACTATATTAAACCGAATTCATTTACAACATACAACTATGCATAATTCATTGAGAACTTTTAAACAACTGGCATTGTAAGGATGTAAGGAAGATAATTAAACCATATTGGTAAGTAAAGTTAATCAATTGTACTTTTGTTAAATGTTTTTAGATGGATTGTTGGTTGTACCGATTGGGTAGCTTTACATGAACAGAGGAAAATTAAGACCTGTTTAAAAGTATTTAATACATACAACCCAATACTTCAGTGAATTTCAGTGACTTTTTGAGACCTAAATTTAAGATCCTCCAGGCACCCTGCACTACTTTTATTTCCCAAGGCAGCTTTATACCTCATAATGCATGCAATATTATGTCTTATCTTTCAGTTACATTTTTGTGTTAAGTTTTAAGGCAAAGACTTTCATTATCTACAGTATATCAGATAAGATATTATTCATAAGCTGAAACTGCATTATTTCTCAGATGGGCACCATGTGAGCTAGAGCAAACATCTATATGTCTTACTTTGGTTTCTCAAGTGGCTCCGGATCATTCCTCCCCAGGCCGACTGGACTCTTCTCTGCCTCCTCTGCTGTCAACAGATGGAGCTCTGCCTCTACTTTTCCCTGTAAACAAGTAAAATATCAATGAGCTCAAAAACGAATGCACTTATTTTAGCACAACATATGCTGGAAAACAAATGATCAAGCAGCAGATATTAACAACATTCTATAAACTCACCGTTAGCTCAAATTCATCATTCTCATTTTGGGCCACAAATGGCCACCAGCCCTTGACTCTCTTTTGTTTGAAGATGGAGATGGTTGGCAGCTCATGCTCTTTGAGAACCATGTCTAGAGAGCACTGCTTGGCTGTTTTTGCCCCACGCGGAAACTTATTCAAGTCCAACTCAATCGCACCTGTGAAAATAATCAGAAGGATTTACTCTTAAAAGAGTTACAGGCTTTCTACAAGATTTACTTAATCAAAAGAAAGACATTTAAAGACCTTTTTAAGATCACTATAAATGAAATGTAAGACATATTTCATGACATTAAAAAACATACAAAAGAAATGCAGAGTTGGAAAATGACTGTTCAAATTGAACACTGTACTGTAGAAGGTGATATATGAAAGACCATCTAATGTCCGTGACATTGAGTACGGAAGTAACTGAAACTGTGAAATTCATCAAAATTCCACTAGTCCTGGCTCCATACAGAGCAAATTTATAATGAACCCACAACTAAAATGGCCAACTTTACAGAAGCAAAAAAAAAAAGTGTTTACAGCCCGGTACAAAGAACAATTTAGGTGTATATAGCTATTATCCTTCATGACAACTGAGGGGTGTGAATTTAAAAGAAAAAACAAGGGCAACAATAAAATTCCTTTATATTAGGTTTTATTAGGTCTGCATAATTAAGGGTGTGGCCACTTGAGTGACAACTAGGTAGGTCACTGTTACTTCACCTCCGCTGATTACAGCTGATTAACTGCTGAAATCTGCATATACATCCTATTTTTATGTTTTATGCAGCTTTACACAGTCAGTTGTCTTTTGGAATTATTTCTTACAATTATCAGATGATATGGCATGCTGTGTGCAATTAACTGTGCTCACAAACCATTCAAGTGGCCTCCATTTCCCAGGTGAGTGAAATTATGTACTTATATATCATATCTATTTTTGATTTGTTTTGTTTAAAATAATTTATCTTTTTTTTTTTAGGCCTGTAATGCACTCAAGAATCTGACAGACTGATTAGCTGTAGGCTCTAGAACAGTCATCTGAAGCATTGCCATGCAGTGCTATGCCTGGATTTCATGACTAGTCTTGGATTTACTAACACAGACTATAGTCCGTGTTAAAAGTGTTTAAAGTATTTAGAAGTAATTTGTGTTTTTCTCCTGTAGAAAAACGTCATAAGAACAATGCTCAGTGGCTCAATGTATTACAACATTTTTTTAAAAGACTTTACACATTATTGATATAGTACACAACCAAGCACATGTGGTCAAAACACAAACTGGGTAACAGACAATAAAGTATTAAGCATTTCTTTCAAATAAAAGCCTAAGCAAAATGCCGGCAGAAGTCTGTCGCTCCACACGTGCTCCGCCTCTTTGACCTTTTTTGGTATTCCCCAGTTGGTGCGATGACGGGCAAACAAAATGTTGACGGTTGGCCACGCCTACTGGTAGCTTCTTTTTGGTTCTTCAAAAACCTATGGGTGACATCACTGATACTACATCCATAATCTTTTACAGTCTATGGTTTACATGGACACCAATAATTTAATTGAGACAATACTCTGATTAAGAGTCTACCATGTAAACAGATTTTTGATTACCTTAATTTGATTAAGGTCATAATCAAACTTAACAGAAACTGAACTAAGACAAGGAGTATGCCGATTTTAGTCGCATTATTGAAGTGCAGTAGAGACATGTAAACACTGCAACCAAACTACCGTCATGTAGGACAATTCATCTTTTTTAGCGACAGGATAGTCTATACACACATGGCTGTTTGACACTATTCTCTGCACTTAAGTCAGTGAAGGACTACAGACACACACCGCAAAATGCAGAGATTTTTTCTTGCATGCAGTATAAAACTCCATTAAAACAACACTCTTCCAGCAGTTTATACTCGCATCCAATTTCTCTGTGCTGCAATGACGTTAATCGAATGATGTGCTATAACATGTAAAACAGGATCATTAAAAGAACATTCAAGAGACAAGTCATGTAAACACCTTAATCATATTATTGTTGTATTGAAATTAAGGCAAACAATTTGATTACTGATGTCCATGTAAATTTAGCCATTTAAACATAAAAAAACCAACATTCTTTTTTTTTATTTAAAGGTTGAATTGCTTGTCCAAAGCCAACAACAACCTTTAGAGCTTCCAGAAATAAAAAAAGACACGGTCACACTGTAGAGCCTTAAAAATGTTTAATTGTAAGCTTACCCAGAAAATCATCTGCAGAAAAGTGATCGGCATCCCATACTTGAAGGGTGAGTCGAGCAGGGATCTTATACTCAGTCTCATCCCAGGAAAACATTGATTCCTTCTTGGAGATAACAATCTTCTCCTCGGCCATGAGATAGTCAAAGGGGAAGACAAAGCGCCAGTTGAAGTTTCCCTCTCCAGTTAGAGAGTGATAATGTACATCGGTGTCCTGTTTGTCCTCCTGCTGTCCTTTAAGCCAGCTGAGCAGAGGAACATTTTTTTCAATTGTTACATGCAATTTTAATATTTATACAAACAATTTACAAGCAACAGGATCAACAATGACTCCTCATATATCTTGCACAACAAAACATGCACAAATGTTCTAAACTTGTAAAACTAAAATGTATAGACGGAAATACCAGAGACAACATGCATAATATAATTTATACATTATATATTGAAAATCCATAATGCATCAGGAAACTGAACAAAAAAAACAAACATATTCCACCCTATACTTAGTGTTTTTAACCACTTAATATATATAAAAATTTGACTTTTTATACTATAAAAAAACATAAAATTGTAAATAATGTGTACTGTAGATCATCAGTTCCTGACTTGTGTTATGTGCATGTTACTCCTTTTTTAATAATCTAATTTGAAAAAGAGTGCATGCAATTACTCCTGCACTCTCTGCAAATAAAAAAGAAAAAGAGATCCTTGACCAGGTATCAACTCCATTATTTGCACTTAAGTTGTAAAGCGTATCAGTTTGAAAAAGTAGCCTGTCCCAATAAATCAGCAATATACAAAGATCCCGTGTATCATGATTTATTTCAGCTATTATAGACAACAATATAGAGCAGATGCATGCATAGAAAAAAATCTATTCAATTCTTGAGACGGATCGAGAATCAAAACGTTAGTATGCAAATGCTAGTTTTGGCATGCAAACAGACAGATCTTATGCTTTCATGCAGTAATTGATTAGAAAGACATCTCAGACTCCAAGACATTTGAAAAAAAAATGTACCAACAAACCAAGACCATACCAGTTATAAAATATTACATTAACTATTAAATGTTAAATGTAAAAAATATATATATATTTAATGTACACCAATTATTTACATTTCTACTAATTTTAGCGCATATAATCAAATTATTTCAGAGGTAAAACAGCCACTTTTGGAATGATATGGTCCTGTTTAAGGGGTTATTTGACCCAAAAATGAGAATTGTGTTATTAATCGCTTATCATCATGTCATTTCAATACCCTGGATCCTTTTGAGGTATTTTAGATGAACTCCAGGAGCTCTCTCATAAATAGCAATGGTCCTGAGACATTCAAAGTTGTCAAAATATTGACTTTTTAAATTTATCTGGCCATTTTTGGTCATTCTGGACTTTGAATGTCTTGTGACCATTGCTATCTATCTATCTAAAATATTTTTCATTTGTGCTCCGAAAACGAACAAAGGTCTCAGGGAACTTGAACGACATGAAGGGAAGTAACTAATAACATAATTTAATTTTTTGGGGTGAACTAACCCTTTAACTTGGATCTACTGTATGTGAAAGGTGGTTTTTCATTCATTTGTTTTAAATGGAAGGGGTAAGTGCAGGTTTCTGATGGGCAGAGCAGTCAAGCCATGCGATCGTGTCGTCTTTACCCCCTGACATAGATGTCTGACATCTTCTCTCCTGTCATGAAAGCATCGTCCTCTAGAATTACGTCATCAGTGTTCCAAATAATAACACGAAGCTCAAAGCTAGAGAACAGCACAGCAATGACGCGGGGGCAAGGAGGGGGATAGACAAAAAAAAAAAAAAAACACCAAAGCAACAAGACAGACAAACAAAAGGAAACAGAAACAAACAAACAAAGGCAACCGATTAACCACACACTTGTCACACAGCTGCCCATACCTACCCCCTCACAAAAATGTCACTGGACTTTTCCCCTGTGAAGTAATCATCGTCTTCCAGAATTACCTCGTCAGTATTCCATATTATCACCCTGAGCTCATATCTGGGAGACGAGTGGAGGGGAAGGAAAACAATGAGAGCATCATCTCAAACCTAGGTTATTATCACTAACTACTGTAAAAAAAAAATAAAACAATGAAGTTTTATCTATGAAGAGCATTTTTGAAAACTGAGATGAATCAAGTGTAAAAACTTAATAGAAAAAATAAAAGTTACTAAATTGAAATGAATTAAACCAAAGGTGTGTTCACACTTGTGTTCTCTTTACAGTCAGTTCTGGTTCTCTAAGGGTGCTTTCACATATGTGGTTTGGTTCCTTTGGTCCGGACCAAGGGCAACAAATTATACATTTTAGCATTTTTCTGTCGTTTTCTGCCTTTTCACAACACACTGATGGTTTTAGTCCGAACCAATAGAAATGAACAAAAATGCAGTCATGTGACAAATGAAGATAGGGATCGAAGATAGGGAATGAAGTTAGGTTGGATATTTATGTTAAATTTGGAATTATCCAATTGGCTTACTAATAGCGATAGGGACCAGCTGCAGTCAATCCTATCACATGCTCCTCTCGAAATTAGTTTGTGAAACTTCACTTCGATTGGTTAGAATTAACATACAGGAAAATGCCAATGCCCAAAGTCCCTTTAAGGCAAGTCATTTTACTCAGTGGCCATCTTTAAAACACCTCTCTGGCATTATGCTCTGGCATTTTGTCTGAATGGAAGAACATCATATTCTCCAAAACTGCTTGCCAAGCTTACAATAAAATTTCGTATTAGGAAACACCAATAAAATTAAACTATAACTGTGTCTTTAGTTTAATTTCTAAACATCTAAATCACACAAAATCTGCAGAAACTCACGTCTGGTCCGAGCCCCTGTCCCAGAGAATCGTCAGTCTATAGCGATCGCCTTGGACGGTGGGATTTATTCGCCATATAGTGATCGATGATTGGCTCCTGTACTAGTAGGTGGGGCTTCATTTACCATAATGACCGTTAAACTTTTCCCCATTCAAAAAGAGTGACATGTCTTGTGTATTCAATAATCTTTGCAACATCAGCTGGGTTTAGTCCAAAAAGGTGCAATACTTTTTGCAGTTGGGTCTGTATTAGTTCAGATCATGTTCTCACCCCAAACAAACCGATTCAGGGTTCGTTTGAAAGACCACCTCTTCAAGAAGGCCTCTGTACACTTTTTTGGTCTGCTTTTGGTGCACACTCGAGTGCTACATTCACACCTGCCCAAAAAAAAAAAGCACTAAGAGGGAAACTGAACTCTAGTGCGATTCAAGTGAACTAAATAATGCAGGTGTGAAAACAGCATTAGACTGCATTCAAAATAGTGCATGTTTTATTAATAATGTCACATTAGAATAAAATTGCTCCCGGTCTAAATCTGTGTTTTTACTGAGTTTCAGGAAAAAAAGTATTCTTCCACACTAAACAGTCTAAAATGCATGATAAGTGACCCTTCATCTTCACTGGGCATGTGCATTTTGTGCGCCATCTGTACTTGCAATGTACCAGTTGCTTAACGGTCATATGAGAGGATCCTGACGAATCAGGGAACAAGACGCAATAGTCTAGAAGACCGGTCAGAGAACGATTGTGGAGAGCTGCAAAAGTTTGTTTCACGCCATCTACACACACTAAACACACTCTAAAACAGAACTAAATTAAAATATATGAAATCAAAGAACAGAAACGAATAAAAATGGTAAACTAAAATATAATGAAAGCTGATGAAAGTCAAAATGTCAATATGCTGTGTATATAAGTTTTTAATTACAACTATAACATTTTTTGGTGTTATCTGGCAAAAAAACTTTTTTAACCCTCAAAAATGCATAATGTGGTAATCTTGACATGTAATTTTGTCAGATTAGTAATCATAACTTTTTATTATTTTCTTAATGCACATGCCTGGTCTTGTATTTGATTTTGTTGTGGAGGTTTATTTTAGATGATTAAAAAGAAGAAATTAATGCAGATGGAGGTGCGAAGCTGGCAGAGTAAATATGGGAGGAAAATAAAGATATGTTTTATCTACAAACCCTGAGTGGTTTCTTTGTCTCTAAACTCTAGCTGTATCACTGTAGTCGAACACAATTGAAAATGATAGTAAACAATTATAAGAGACAGCAGAAGAAAAAAAAGACCTTCTTTAGTTTGGCAATACACCATTCAAAGCCATGGCTTCATCCAAGGCGATTAAATCATCCAAAGAATATTAATTGCACACACAGTCCAAATAAAGCAATCTGTTCCTCGCTTGAGGGTGCAATGAACTAATAGTGAGTATGTGATCTCAGCAGGACTGATTATTAAAGCTTCCTATTTTAGTCTCATCTTCAACTCACTGATGCACATACTGTATTAAAATGGGACTTTTTAATAGTATAGTTGCATACGTATAGTTGAGTATAGTTGCATACTCCTTAAGATAAAGCATGTGAAATGACTGCAACACAATGCACAAGTCAATTATTAATTCCTTAAAACTGAATAACTGAAACCACTAAAAGCTTGAACTAAAAATGAAATAAAATAATGGAATCATATACCTCTTTGGTTTGCGTGGCGATATATCAATGGCTGGTCCTGGTGCTGGGACATCCATAGGAAACATGTCCACCCACATTTCAATCCTTCCCTTTGAGATTGAGAGAAAACAATTGAGGATTTGATATTGCACTAAAACAATGATCAAATGCACCACTTTGCGTTTTCAGAATTGGTGGATAAAGTACACATCATCAGGCACTTATGTGAAAGTCTGAATGCCCCAACAAAATGATATTCCAGTAAAGTATAAAGCCTTCTTTTTAAATTTTACTTGCATTTCAAGAGTTCACATTTAGCTGATGATTGATTATAAAGCTTGTTTGGCATGCTGAGAGCCCTGAGCTCATAAGATTCTTGAGCCTGTGGGCTCCTTCCCGTTTGCAGGGTAAGAGGGGAGTTTGAGCTCAGGTAGATCTCAAGAACTCCCCTGCTGTAGTAGCTAATGAACAGATAGTGATTGCTCTTAAGAGAAAACTACTTAGAAGGAGCATGTCTATGGTGCCGATTTGGATTAGTCAATTAACTTAAGTTTTTGGATGGTGGGAGAAAACCAGGGAACCTGGGGGAAACCCACGTGAGCATGGCGAGAACGTGTAAACTCTGCACAGAAACGTCGACTGGCTTGGTAAGGACTAGAACAGGTGATGTTGCTGTGAGGCAATAGTGCTAACCGCTGGGCCACAGTAGGGGTGGAAGGAGGAATTTTTCAAAATAAAGCTGGCTGTCATATGGAACTTAGGGCATTTATAGTGACTTAGGAATCGTCTGATTGATTTATCATGAATTGGATAATGCTGGGCCAGCCGCAAGCAATCTTTAGCATGTGATACTCTCGAAATTAGTTTATAAATAAACTTCACTTAATGTAAAAGTACTTGATTTTTAATGTACTTAAGTATTAAAAGTATTACTGATGAATGTTTATTTTGCAAGAAAAATTTATTACCAAAAGTTGTCATATCCATAATGCATAATAATTCAATAGTGGAAACAAAAAATAACATATCATATACAGTACACTAGTATGGCGACACTGTGGCTCACTGTCACCTCACAGCAAGAAGGTCGCTGGTTCGAGACCTGGCTTAAATACATGCGATATAGGGTAAGTGAATAAACTAAATTGGCCGTAGTGTATGAGAGAATGAGTGTGTATGGATGTTTCCCAGTACTGGGTTGCAACTGGAAAGGCATCCGCTGTGTAACACATATGCTGGAAAAGTTGGTGGTTCATTCCGCTGTGGCAACTCTTGATAAATAAAAGGACTAAGCCAAAGGAACATGAATGAAAGAAAACACTAGTCTATGGCAAAAATACATAAGACAAAGCACCCGGAGGAAACCTACGCGAACGCAGGGAGAACATGCAAACTCCACACAGAAACGCCAACTGAGCCGAGGATCGAATCAGCGATCTTCTTGCTGTGAGGAGACAGCATTACCTACAGCATCACTACGTCGCCTCATTTGAATCAGTGAGTTGTTAACTTAAGAACAGTTGCAGTCAGAGAAGTGCAATTCACAAATTAACTGTTCAATGCAGTTTTGTGAACTGATAACTGACAAAATTCTGCCCATTGCCCAATCACAACAGAATCTCTGTTCATTCACCAATCCCTATAGGGTCTGAGCAGGCGATGATTTCTCCCCTTTAAAATAACTTTTTACTCAGCTTCAATAAGGAAATTGAGCAGGGTAGTAAAGCAAAATGCCTCAACTGACTGTTTTAGGGGGATTCCCTGGAAACATCTTAAATTCTGTGTAAAATCTAAATTTACCATGTTTATTTTTCTACCACACAATTCATTTAAGTGATTAATTAATCTATTTATCCACTGAAAAAAAGGTTTCAGTAATCTTCAATCAAAATCTGACCATTTGCTTCTACATTTGGAGTGGTGGTCTGTCACCTTTGACGTCAGTTTGACGGCTTCAGCCACAATATTCTTAAACACCTCCCTCTTACCCTTAGTTCGTTATAAGTGAATGATAAGCAAAAAAGAAAGCTCCAGCTCAACATACTGAAATAAACTACCCATTGACCCAGGCATTATTAATATGCAATTGTTCAAAATAATCCATCATGTTCTCTGAATTTTGTTTCCAATGATGAAAAATTCAGCAAGAACACAGTGTGAACCATGATCCCAGCACTATTTTCTTGTCCACTCTTTCCTACCTGCTCTATGCCTGGCTTGTCTGGGTTGAGGAGAGGCCTCGTCTCCACATGCTCAGGGATGAGTTTGCAACCAACACGTGGGATTTCCTCCCAATGTCTAAGGACTGTGAGCGCCAAGTGTTCTTCTGTTTGTTTTTTCAGACCTGTAAGCCAAACAAAATCAATATGTTTTCACGTATGACTGAAAAACATCAATACAAGCTCTATATTAGCTTTACAAATGTCTCACCACTCTCATCCTCAATTTCTGTCGGCCCAAGAAAGATCCGGTTTGCAACTTTGACTCTTCCCCCAGGTCCATAGTGAGGTCCATCCAGTTTACCTTCTTTGCACAACTTAGCCAGGATCTGAGCTGGTTTCTGAGGATCTCTCCATACATTATAACCATGGCTGGATGGATTTGATGAGAATTAAATTTAACTTTTACCTACTGTCACCAAAGACTTTCAGTTTGTCAAATTTATTATGATATATTTATGGTGGCTTGAGAAAGCCAACATACTGGAATAAACTTCTTCTTTTGAGAATAATTTAGGAGCACATCTTTTCCTAGACCGTTCATACTTCAACTACCAAACCTCCAAACTACACTGAATTACATTGCTATATCTTTTCCAACTGATCCGACCTACGGTTTTCCGAAAACTGACCCGGAGCATTTGGAAAAGTCCCATTGGCTCATTTAATTCAGACTACCAATCTGCCGATCACTGATGACCTTTCAACTTACTAGCCACACTCTAGCAACTACTTATGGCATCTTAGCAACTGTCCCATTGACTTCCATTGTGAAAATACTGCCATTGACTGTACATTGAACATACTAATAACATACCAATGCATACTAGCAATATACTAATCCATACTCGATACTAATAAACATACGAACATACTAATTATATTAGCAACATGTTAATTCATACTAAATTCATGCTAACAACATAATAGTTCATACTGGAAACATGCTAGCCTCATGATAAATCATACTAGAACCATGCTAATTCAATTCATGTTAGCAACTGTCTAGCAACTACTTATAACACCTTAGCAACCGCCTAGCAACACCTTAGCAATGACCTACAACACCTTAGCAGCCGCCTAGCAACACATTAGCAACCACATAGCAATGCCTTAGCAACTAGAGCACACCCTAGCAACTGCCTAGCAACATCTTAGCAACCACCTAGCAACCACCTGGTAACACCTTAGCAACCACCTAGCAAAACCTTAGCAACTTCCTAGCAACCCTTCAGAACACCCTAGCAATGATCTAGAACACCTTAGCAACAACCTAACAACACTTTAGCAACCCCTTGGCAATGACCTAAAACACCTTAGCAACTACCTAGCAATGCCTTAGCAACCACTCAGAACACCTTAGTTACCACCCAGCAACACCTTAGTAACCACCAAGAACACCCTAGCAACTGCCTAGCAACACCTTAGCAACCACCAAGAACACCCTAGCAACCCCTTAAAACCCCTTAGCAACCACCTAACAACACCTTAGCAACCACCTAGGACACCCGAGCAACCGCCTAGCAATGCTTAGTAACCACTCAAAACACTCTAGCAATGCCTTATCAACTGCCTAGCAACCACTAAGAACACCTAAGCAACTGTCTAGCAACACCTTAACAACCAGTCAAAACAACCTAGCAACCGCTTAGCAACCACTCAGAACACCCTAGCAACCACCTAGCTACAACTGAGCAAGCATTCAGAACACCGTAGCGGCCAATTAGAAACACCTTAGCAACCACTCCGAACCACTATCAACCGCCTAGCAAGAAACATTCCAATCCATCCTAGAAACATGCTAACATATACAGTTGAAGTCAGAATTATAAGCCCCCCTGAATTATTAGCGCCCCTGTTTATTTTTCCCCCAATTTCTGTTTAATGGAGGGAAGATTGTTTCAACACATTTCTAAGCATAATAGTTTTAATAACTCATTTCTAATAACTGATTTATTTTATCTTTGCCATGATGACAGTAGATAATATTTTACTTTATATTTTTTAAGACACTTCTATACAGCTTAAAGTGACATTTAAAGGCTTAACTTGGTTAATAAGGTTAACTAGTCAGGATAGGGTAATTAGGCAAGTTATTGTATAACGATGATTTGCTCTGTAGATTATCGAAAAAAATTAGCTTAAAGGGGCTAATAATTTTGTCCCAAAAATGTTTTTTTTTTTTTAAATTAATAACTGCTTTTATTCTAGCCAAAATAAAACAAATAAGACTTTCTCTAGAAGAAAATAATATTATCAGACATACTGTGAAAATTCCATTACTCTGTTAAACATAATTTGGGAAATATTTAAAAAAGAAAATCAAAATCAAAAGGGGGCTAATAATTCAGACTTCAACTGTATGTGCTTATCTATCTATGCCAGCGGTTCCCAAACTGGGGTGTGTGCAACCCTAGGGGTGCACAGTCTGACCACCAGGGGTGTGCGAGAGAATGTTTTTAATGGTGGAAGAATTTATCTTTTTTATTTTAATGCATGTATCTTGGGTGAATTTCAGATGTCATATTTTTGAGGGAAAATAAATTCACAGAGAGAGAAAAAAACACGATATAAATTGTAATTTACAACCTATGCATGCTCAATCATGTCGCGGTTTCACGTCTGCGTCACAAAAGCCCCACCCTTTCACATTAGGCGCTAAGGAATAGTACATTTGTTTTTTTTTTTGTTTTTTTTTGTTTTTGCTTACTATATTCATCAAAATGGACACCTGGATAAAAACTGGCACTTTAAAGAAGTCAAGTGACAGTAGGAATGGACCATCAGTTTCCCGGGTAGACTGCAGCATCCATCAAGAAGCTCTAGCGATGAAAAACATGCCAGATGAACTGTGAAAATTGCCATTTTCATAAAAGCTCAACCATTAAATTCACGTATTTTGTTATTTTTATTTTAATAATGTATACAGAAAATATTATTTAGTTATTGTAGTTAAAAAGGTGGAGTTTAATCGGAGAAAGGGGTGCTTGACAGGTGTCAAATATTAGAAAGGGGTGCACACAACAAAAAGTTTGGGAACCACTGATCTATGCCAACTGTTTCAAACTTCTTATAAAACTATTTTAGGTACTTACACTTTAAAACTACTTCTATCTTTCAGGCTAGGCTTTCTCAAGCCACCATAAATTTTGCTTACGTACATTACTTTTCTAGTTTTAGTTGTTCCCATAAAGAAAAATGATGCATGGATACATATGCAAAATGCATATAAGAGATACAAGTTCATATTTGCATTTTACAAATATTACAAAAATGTTCGCTTACATACCTCTGGGGTGTGAATCATAATAAATAAATAAATAAATTAATTAATAAATAAATAAATAAGTGGAACAATTTTTGCAATACTTTATAATGTATGTTGCATATTTACATTTTATATATGTGAAATCAAAATATGAACTTCTATGCCATATACATGTATGTAAGTTGCATATATTACCATAGATCAGATTTCTATATGGGTTGATATATGAAATCAATTTCATGAATTGTCACATCACAAAAAAAAAAAACTATTAGCAATTGACAACCCCAAAATGAAAACACTCTATAGCACCCATTAAGTGCTACCTTCCTGTAGAAAGTAAACAGTGGAAGACACTTACACAGAGTAGTTGGAAGCAATGCCACATGTGGCTCTGTGTTTGCTGTAGTATCTGTTCTCCAAATCAATCTTAGTCTCACCAATCAGGTCATCAGTTCCGACTAAATCCCAGTCATACACTGCCACAGTCAGCATAGACTCCATTGGGAACGTGGCCTCTATATCAAATGACCTTATGGAGAGTGGAGAAAGGAGATTGTGTTTTTAAGTTATAATAAAAAAAATTTATCACACTTTATTTTAAGGTACAATTCTCACTATTAACAAACCATTAACTATGACTTTTAGCTCAATACACTTCTAATTCCCTGCTCATTAATAGTTATTAACGTAGTAGTTTAGTTATTGGTTATTATGAGAGATGCAGAAAAAAATCAGGCCGAATTTGTAGTTTAAAAGCACAAATAAACAGCCAATATCTTAATAATAGGCAAGTAATAAACCACTAGTTCACCAGCATAGACCACAGCAAACTTTGAGCTAGACTTTATCGTAGAAATGAAGGGGATGGTAAGAGAACAGTGGCATGAAGGGGAAGGGAAATAAGATGATAAACAGTGAACAGGTAGGTAGGTTGATCGGGCATCCTACGATGATGCCCAAAATCTTAGAGTGGGGGTACCGTCTCTAATTATTTTGGGAGTGTCATGACTAAAACCTTAAAATATGAACTAAAAGTAACATATTTTAAACTTGTATGAATTGTTTACAATGCAAATCCAATTAGATCATTTATTTGGCAAACAAAGCAAATCTCTCAAATAATATCTCTACTAAAAGACAGAAAATATAACTTTACAAACTATAATGTAAATAAATCATATAAATGTTTTAATATTAGTCAATAATATTACTGAATTTAATTTAAAAACTGAATAAATATGAATTTACACACATTTACACAAGTAAATAAACAGAATCAATGATGGGCTAAAAATCTGCAAGTGCAGATTCGAGAAAATAGGGAGTAGGTGTGAGGCGTGGTTCCGCCGCCGAACCTTTTCAACAAGTTAACTCCATTTAATAGTGAGAATTGGTACCTAAACTAAAATTTCTAGCTTAAACGAAATCCACTTGACTAGTTTGTTTGGATTACTACTCACTTTCCAAAGACAGGATTCAGCTGCTTGGATATGTAGTTCTCCTTGTCTCGAATGTCTGACTTTCCCAATTTAATGACTATATAAGGGTCGGCCTTTCCATTTATATCTGCAGGATGCAGGTCTGTGGCCTGAGTAGAGATTCATTTTTCTTAAGCAGATTTAGCAGATAAGGAACAGTGCATAAAACACATTCAACTTAACCCTAATGTATACACCAGATTTATACATACAATGGATATGCATATAGTGCACTGCACATCACTTATATGGTAAGCATGTATAGTGTACTGTTTAAGTGTCTGCTATTATCACATTTACATTTTGTAACACACATGTTATTGTGTGCACACAAGTGAAGTCAACTTAAATCTTTGGAGTTGAATACACTCACTCGAATGATATAAATCCTGACAAGAACGTTGATAGGGTCATTGTGAGGAATACTCTGGAACATGCCCATGTTTGGATCAAATCCTGCCTCTCTGGTGATCTCCTCAGACAGTGGTAGTTTATACATACAGAGGGAGCCCTGGTTCATAAGAAGACAAAATATCAAAATCATTTCACACTTTGAATGTATACAGTGTTTTGTGTTTTACTCATTCTTACCTTGAATCTGCCCACAATTCTGTCCTCATCAACCACATTGTGGTCATCATCATCTCCAGCCTTTCCTCGGTACAGGTTGAAGGTGTGAAGCCAGTCCTCAAAGCTACCGAACTCACTCTCCAGCTCTTTATTGTACACCTGAGATAAAGATCTTTAGCTTGGATTTCTTCAGATTACAGTTCTTTTATCTTGTATACTTCTGTTACAAAGTGTGGAAGACACTTTTCAATATTGCATTAATTGATCAAAAACACTCAAAAATATTAAATGTTTCCTATTTTAATATATTTTAAGCTTTAACTTATTCCTGTGATGTCAAATCTGAATATTTTCAGCCTTTACTCCAGTCCTTAATGTAACAGGATTATTCAAAGAGAACAACTAATTGTTTTTTTTCAGTAAATAAATGCATAAACACATAAATCTTTCTTATGACAAACAGTAGTGTGAGTACATTTCAAATGAATTTGTTTTTACAAGGCAAGAATAGAAGACTAATATGTTCAAGAAGAAGCACTGACCATGAGTTCATCAACTTTTGGTTTTGGAGGTCGTTTTTCTGTGCCATCGTTGTTCTTCTTTTTGTCCTTGGTGCTCTTCTTGTCTTTGCTCTTCTCTTTAGGTTTGGTGCCTTTCATAGGAAAGTCATCAGCTTTGATCTCTGAGGTTAGGAGTGAATGGGTAGGTACGAATGGATATGAAAGACATGTGAGCACATCTACTTTACAGCACAATGACAGTCTGAATGGATGTTTATAGTGAACAGTGATGTTTCAAGCCATGAGAGTTAAAGACCTAAAATAACAGATGACTCATAATAATAATAATAATAATAATAATAATAATAATAATAATAATAATAATAGCTGTAACTTATTATATTAACACTCTTAAAGCATAAATGTACCCAATAAGTAGGAAATATTAAATAGTATCAAAACATGTTTCTAGCTTTCATGGCGTGAAAAGGAGATACGTACTAATAGTTTAATGTCAACAGTGACTACAACAGTGGATATGGGATGATGCTCATCTAAACATGTATCTATGCTTTAGTCCACACTAAATTCTGTGTTTACCTGCACTCTCTGCTGCAATCTCCAAATCTTCTCTTTCCTCTGCCTCTGCCTGAGCGGCCTCCTGAGCTCTTAGATTCTGCAAAGAAAGTATATTGTGATGTAAAATACAGTATGACACATTCCATATTATTAAAGAGATGGTACATGGATTCATATTCTGCAGAACTAAAACCAAAACTTTTAGCTTAGGTTCTTAATTTTTCATTTTCCAGGACATTTCAAATTACATTTTGAAGGGAATAAAAGAGCAGGATCACAGATTTACAGCATAGTTTTCTTTTAAAATCTGATAATAGAATAGTGAGGAGAATATTACTTCACTGGACTCCTTCTTTAAAACACTTACTAATTATTTACAGTTTTACAGAAATTACTTTCATAATTTGTGCAAATTATCATAGGGTGTAGAAAAAAGTGGTAATGGTTTAGTAGATTTTTTAACCTTTAATAAACTAAAATAATAATTGAATTTATTTAAACTCATTTTAAAGCCGCTATATACTGTATAAATATATATATATGAGCAATATCAAACAAGTAGCAGTGTGATGTTGCTGTATATCGACACTGGTGGGAGGCGTGCGGCCGAGTGCCTTAGTGTCCTACCAGTGACAATATACAGCCACATCGCACCTCAACTCATGTGACATTGCGTTAATACCACAGTTTGACGGCATAATCGTGTGTATAAGAAAAAGAAAATCAAACACGGAGAGTCTCAAAACCCTTTAATCAGAGGAACTAGTTTCTTCGCCAATCCTACACATCTGCAGCTGAAGTCAAAACAGCAGAAACCGTAGCTACTTCACCAACGTCACTTAAGAGCTAGTATTTGAATGATTCTCCAGCGTAATGTCTAAAGTGAAGACAAAACAGGTGATTTTGCTCACATTTTAAGATTATAAGGCTGAACGGCATGAAAGGCCATCAGTCTACAGAGATGTATTTCTCTTTTGCAATAGGGAGATCACAATATTACTATGGTATAAATACAGCACTACAACATACAAAAGAGAGGGATCGACTTAGAAAGTTTCTCTTAGGGCTTATTATGCGGTCTCTGACGCCATCTTGTGGATGAACATTATCAACCGTCTTTGCTCAAAGACAGGCTAATGGCCGCTGACACGCTGTCACTCAGAAATTATAAATATTTTTAAAAATTGGCACTATCCTTGTAAATAAATTGCATAGTTGCAATCTGAACAACTACATTCTCGACTAAAAAAGCCTCAAAGTACATTGTGTTGCCCAACAGCAGGAATATTTGTCAAACTGTGTCCTCTGCTTGTCGCTGTATGTGGGCGGAGTGATACACAAGGTTGAAGCCTTAAGAGACTGGACGAGTGCTGTTACTGGCAGGATATCGCACAGCATTTTAAAAAAATATATATAAAGTAAAAATGAAAAGAATCTTGAAGGAAGTTGAACAGAAAGGCAGTTTCTCCCACCTCCATCATAGTCTCTATTGAGGCAAAGTATTTGGACCACCAGTCCAGCATGCTCTCATCCGGCTCCTCTTCCTCCACTTCTTCTCCTTTCTTCTTCTTCTTCTTCTTCTTTTCTTTCTCCTTCTCATCCTCATTCTGTTAACACAAAGGTAGTTGTGATGCTTATATTATTTTAAATCTAATTTGTAATTCAGGTTCCTGTAAACATTATCTGTCTGAATCTGTCTAAACCAAGCAAAGACTTACCAAGTCAACTTTAACAACCGCATCGGTGGTCTACAAGCACAGGTCACACAAGACATACATCAAATACAGCACAAACAACATCCACAGTAATAGCTCACTAGCATACACATTGCATGATGGCTGTTGTTAAAATAGGACACTAAGCTTATAGGAATGGTTCACCCAAAACTTTTAATTTACTTAGCATTTTTTTTCATTTATTAAGTAAAAAAATGATTTAAAAAATACAATAATGAATGCAAAGAAAGATCATAGTTAAAAAAAGTTTGAAAACGTAACAATTAAACAACCCGTTTTTTCAACCATTGGAAATTAATTGAAACTGTTTGATCAGCAACATTCTTCAAAATATCTTTTTTTTTTTCTTAAAAGAAAGAAAGTAAATTTTCATTTTTGGGTGGTTTATTTATTAAAGCAGTAAAACAAACAAAACGTGAATAAAAACAAAGTCATTTTCTAACACACGACAGCATGCTTCCACTACTCACAGCTTCAATCTTGACAACCGTGTCCATCTTCTTAATGTTAGGTTCAGGGCTCATGTTGACCACAATGTCACCTGAGGGATAAGAAACAGGACGGGATTGGGGGCGGGAATGAGACGTCCCATTGCTGAGAGCCAGGTAGCCATTGGCCAGTCTAGCTGGTGTGGGCAGGGTCATAAGATTCATCAACCAATGACCAGAGACCAGCATCAAGACAGAGAGGATAAAACCACGAAGAGATCAAAGAAAGAAAGAAGAGAGGAAAGGATTGGAAAATCAGAAAAGGTGGAAAAAGGAAATAGCAAGTTGTCTTATACACTATTATTCAAATGTTTGGGGTTGGTCAGATTTTATAGCTTTGGAAACTCATTTATGCTCCTAAGGCTGCATGTATTTGGAAATGTAAACATACAGCATAACAGCAATGTTTATTTCAGTTCAATGAAAACATTTTCTACTGTCATAACAGAAAATCATCCTAAAATGCTTTTATATATTCTGTTTAAAATATGAAGACTTTAATCAATAGCTTATAAAACAAAACACAAATTTACATTTTTTACATTTAATGGCAAATCCAGTCAACCAATAGTAACTGTGATCATCAGTTAGTTTTTTTTCAGAGATATATTTTGTGGAAACAGTGTAAAATCCTACTAGCTCCAAACTTTGCACAGTAGTGTATCCAATTATAAGTGAATCACTTCATATATTAATTAGATGTTAATTTAATATATGGTGTAAAAAAGGGGCATGGTTCAGTATCATCACAGGAAAATTTGATGCTACTGAAACCATGGAAATCAAGAAAAGTTTTAAATAGAATATTATTTTGTTATATACAGATACAGTAGGTATATATAGTAGGCATATGACAGGTACCTGTGTGAGCCCAGTTGTTAGCAGTCTTGTCTGGGGGGCTGTAGATGAACTTGCGAAGGGTGGTCACAGCATGAGACCCCACCAAAATGTAGCGTCCGAATGCCCTGCAATCCACTACCCGAATATTAAGTGGTGGATGGAGCAGCTCATTTTCTGGCAGATCCTACATGACAAAAATGCTTGAATTTTAAAATTTCCAAAAAAAAAAAAAAAAGAATTGGAGATATTTTTACATTTTCAACAACTGTATAATTTCCCTCACCACTTCAAACCACTTTACTAATGTGCTGAAGTTTGGATTCTTCTTGTAGTTTTGAATTAGGGCTGACTGAACTCCTTTCCCTGCACACTCAATGTCCACACGAGGTCGGTCCACCTGAGCCAGGTTGACCCTTTTAAGGTCCCTCAGACCCCAAAACAGGACCTAGGTGAGAAACAAAAAAAAACATTAATAATAATAATAATACTAATAATAATAATCATATTGAAGCAAAAAGTAAATGAGCTATATGTAGTAAAACAACTGTTCACACAAAGTCAAATCCATTTACTCACCCTCCACTTGTTTCAAATCTTGATGATCTCAAAAGAAGACATTTTACAGAATGTTGAAATTCATAATTGATTTCCGTAGTATTTTAATTTCTACTATGGACACCAATGGATACCGGTTTCCAAAATTCTTCAAAATATCTTTTTTTGTGTTGAACAGAAATAAATATATATACTTATATACTTATAAATGTTTGGAAGGGTGAGTAAATGTTGATAAAAGTTTTGGGTAAACTAGGCCTTTAATAAAGTGCCCCAATATGCTTTTTAAAAAAGTTCCTAGTCTTATTGTGAAAGTCTCCTTCAAAAAGTTTACATCCATCCAAAGTTTCTTACACATACAGACAAGCCCAAAATTATTCATACCCCTGGTAAATTCTGACTTATAGTTACTTAAAGAGGGGGCATCATGGTGGTGCAATGGGTAGCACAATCACCTCACAGCAAGAAGGCCGCAGGTTCGAGCCTCGGCTGGGTCAGTTGGCATTTCTGTGTAGAGTTTGCATGTTCTCCCCGCATTGGCATAGTTTTCCTCCGGGTGCCCCCACAAGTCCAAAGATGTGGTATAGGTGAATTGGGTAAGCTAAATTGTCCGTAGTGTGTGTGTGAATGAGTGTCTATGAATGTTTCCCAGTGATTGGCTGCAGCTGGAAGGGCATGCAGTAAAACATGTGCTGGATAAGCAGGCGGTTCATTCCACTGTGGCGACCCCACATTAATGAAGGGACTAAGCCGAAAAGAAATGAATGAATGAGTTACTTAAATAAATATTTTTACTTAAAATTTTTTTTTTCCTCAATGTTGCATCTTCTTCTTGTGGGAGAGGCCTGTGTAATTTCCAGTCAAAAAAAAAATAATAATAATAATAAAAACTTGCTGGTTGAATAAAAGTAACTTTAAATCCAATTTTGCAAAGGGTATGAATTATTTTGAGCTTGACTGTACACTGCAGCATCATCGTGCCCACAGGCAACCAATAAAGACCATAGGCTGGAATTATGCAAATGCAATGCTGTTACAAACTCAAGTAGGTTTGTCCATTAAGTAAAACTAGAAGTACCGACGACTCAGGTCAGAATCAGTTATTTCTTTTAGGAGACAATAACTCAATTTAACTTGCACTTTGCAGACCTTTTACATTCAAACAGCTACATTCACAAATGAAAGCACAGGAGCACTTTAATAATCTTATTATGGCTGGGGCATGTTTTCACCTCGATGCGATATCTGCTGAGAACTGGTCGAATTCCCAATGGAACAGGCAGAATGGGCCCACGGTCAGAATCGGTCGGTCCATCGATTGGAGGAAGTGCTGCCCGCCCTGCTGGACCAATCTGTTTATAAACAAATATTTTAAATGAAAAATCTAAAACATAACTGAAAAAGAATATTGAAGTAATGACTGACTAATATTGCTGATTAACTCCTCGATTTTGATTAAATCTCGTAAAACATGAAAAATAGCAAAGCACAGCAATAGCAAAGAGGATGGAGTCACTGACAGACGAATGAAAAACAAAGATAACAATTAAAGAAAGAAAATGCTACTTTTTTATTGCACCTTGATCTGAGGCACAGCAAAGTCATGGACAGCAATAAGAGCTCTTCTGATCTCCTCATCGTCATAAGGAATCTGTCAAAGGTGCCATGAAAGAGTACAGCAGACAAACGTGACAGGACATAAAAAAGATGGGAAATGACAAAAAAAAAAGAGACCAAGAATCAAGGACAAGTGGAAGGAAAAGAGAAGAGTGATTCACAGCTGTACTATTCAAGCAAATTTTAAGAAAATTTAGGCCAAGCACTGACAGAGAGTTCAGTGGAGATTTGAGATTGTACTTGTAGATCAATCATTGTATACCTGTAGAAGCTCAAAAGCAGCCAATAGATCTCCCGCAGCACAGTTTCCTCGGTAGATCTGATAATACTCGAGCTGGGGAGGAAACCGCGGTGGGCCGTAGTGTTCATCAACCATCTTAGTAAGTGGTTTTGCAAATGTTCGGCCAATAAACTCAGCTTTCCCCTGGATGCCACACGAAAACACAGCAGTTGCAATATCATCATCAAACACCAGGGGGCAGTGTGGGCACATTGCTTGAAAAATCACTTTCACATCATGGCTACTGTATTGCTGCGGCTTTAAGATTTGAAAATCAATCTTTGGTTGTCATTTCCAAATGATTTGATTAAATTTCAAACCAAAACATTTGCACTCAAATACTGTCTAAATATTATAAATAGAGGATCATTAATATTATATTTGACCGTGACCCTCAGTTCTCAATTAAATAAACCACAGCAATCATTACTACAGACTACAAATACTACAGCTATAAAAAAACATCCACTAGCTAGCTCTCTAGACTGTCACAACACAGGGAATGCAAGAGGTTTATCGCAACAGAAAATTGTATTTTTATCAACAAGTAAGGAAATAGCGAGAAGAAAGATCTTGTTTTTAGTTCCAAGCTATGCCAGTTTTTGCATGCCTTGTTGAATTCAGTTTTCTATGCAAACAGAAATTGACAGCAGTGTTGAAATAAGCTTTCACACTCTACTTAGCCAAAATGCCGTCCAACAAAAGGGCAGGACCAGAAAATTTTAAACAGGAAGAAACATCAAGTCAGGACAATAGAGCACATTTTCACACTCTTATCGTGACGCATACATGGGGAGAATTATGTCAACAAAATGCTGAACTAGCATTCAATCCTGGATATTCTGTTTTTATTTGTGGACTTTTTGAAACTAACTTACCACAGTGTCTTGATCATACAACTCAATGACAATGATTGGAGGGTCATCACGGAGTTCACCGGCCTCACCGTAAAGTTCAACATTATCAAACACAAGCAGCTGATCCCATGTTGGACAGAGAGTCTCACTGAGGACCTGAAATATACAGCAGAAATAGGTTGATGATTTATAAAATAGGATGATTTTTAACAACAAAAGTCATTTGTTTATTTATTTTCTTTTCAGCTTAGTCACTCTATTAATCAGGGGTTGCCACAGCGGAATGAACCGCCAACTTTGCTTAGCATTTGTTTCAATGCCCTTCCAGCCGCAACCCAAACCAGGGAAACACCCATACTCTGCATTCACAAACATACACTATGGAAATTTAGCTTATTCAATTCACCTATACAGTATGTCTTTGGACTGTGGGGGAAACCAGAGCACCCAGAGGAAACACATGTCAACACGGGCAGAACATGCAAACTCCACACAGAAATGCCAACTAACCCAACCGGGCCTCGAACCAGCGACCTTCTTGCAGTGAGGTGATCGTGCTACCCACTGTGCCACTGTGACACCAACAACAGTAACTACCTATATACAGTTGTTGAGGTCAGAATTATTAGCCCTCCTGAATTATTAGCCCCCTGTTTATTTTTTCCCCAATTTCAGTTTAACAGAGATAAAACTTTTGCAACACATTTCTAAACATAAATGTTTTAATAAATCATTTCTAATAACTGGTTTATTTAATCTTTGCCATGATGACAGTAAATAATATTTGACTAGATATTTTTCAAGACACTTCTATACAGCTTAAAGTGACATTTAAAGGCTTGACTAGGTTAATTAGGTTAACTAGTCAGGATAGGGTAATTAGGTAAGTTATTGTATAACAGTGGTTTGTTCTGTAGATTATCAGAAAAAATATATAGCTTAAAGGGGCTAATAATTTTGATCTTAAAATGGTTTTTAAAAAATTAAGAACTGCTTTTATTCCAGCCGAAATAAAACAAAAAAGACTTTCTCCAGAAGAAAAAAATATAATCAGACATACTTTGTAAATTTCCTTGCTCTCTTAAACATAATTTGGGAAATATTTAAAAGAGAAAAAAAAATCAAAGGGGGTTTAATAAATCTGATTTCAACTGTAATTTTTTCAATTTAAACAATTAAAAAGTTACTAAGTTTACTTAATTTACTATAAATATAAGTGTAATAGCTTTTTATATATTTATATATATGGTTTAATCATGGCACTTTTAATTAATTAGATATATGTGTGTACAATGCATAAATAAACAATGAAATAAAATTAACAACAATTGCAGTCCCAAATAACTTACAACATTATAAATCAGCTGAGTAATATTTAACAATAATATATTATTATATATCATTGACATCTATTTTTCTATATTATAAATAAAATATGTATATATTACTAATATATAAAGAAAATAAACTAATATAAAACATAGTTTGCAAAGACTTAAATATAAAAAAAGTATATAAGCATGTTTTTAAGAAGTTAAAATGCACTTAAATGAACAGTCAGCCAGACAAACCTAACTCAACAGGGGGTTTCTCATCTGAGAAACATTTTTATTTTTAGTAGTTCCTGGAACTACAGGTGGAAGTACCCATTTTTGGTGCCACAGAAACTAACAGAGATTAATCAAAACACTGACTAAATATTTTAAAGTGTTTCAACACATATAAATATAGAAATCTAATGTTAGCATCATTTGCTGTTATGTTATGAGTTTCTGTATTCTGTATTGCATTCTGTATTCTTTTCTCAGCACCTACGTGTATACAGAACTATACATTGGCATGGGTAATTTTGTCCTAATTTTTGCACTTTTCAAACTTATACCTCAATGTTCCATCTCCAGTTTCATGAAACACACACAAAAACATAACTTTTATTGAATATTGGCCCACGCACTTGAACTTCACAGTTATTAGTTACAATGCAACCAACCAGTTAATGGCCTGTGGGAAAATTCTAGTTTGGCTTGTTCCTATAACAAAGTTTATATAACTACATGGTGTAAAGCCTTTATTGTATTTGTGGATATGCAACAGCCAATAACAATCTGTAAAGTACCTATACAGACTTTAATAAAGGGATAGTTCACCTAAAAATTAAAATTCTGTCAATTAATCATGTTGTTCCAAACCCTGAGACCTTCGTTCATCTTTGAAACACAAATTAGGATATTTTGGAAAAATTCAGAGAGCTCCCTGATCCTCCATAGATATTAAAGGCATTGTTGTCTATTGAGAATGAGGGAGGAAGCTCTCAGATTTAATCTAAAATAATTAAAATTGTGCTCCAAAGACAAATGAAAGGCTTATCAGTTGGAATGAAAAGAGGGATGAGAAATTAATACCAGAATTTAATTTTTTAAAACACTTCATTATAAAATACATAATGAAACCTCAGACTCTGACACACACTCACCTCCGTGACCTGGCTGTGGGTGGAGAAGAAAACCCTTGCAAATGGATCAGACAGGCCACTAGTGTCCGCAGCAAACAGACTGCGAGCTTGATACATGTGGGCCCTCAGCTGAAACACCTGCTTCACTACAGATCAGGACACAAAGAGTCAGCTTCATGCATGCAAACTCTATTAACAGCAAAGAAACCATTAGAGTATATACAAGGCATATAAACTTACTGTTATAAACTAGGCTGATGGGAGGGACAGCTTGTATGCCAATTCCCTTTACTGCCTTGTTTTCTTCAAAGCCACTAGGGAGGCCAATCAGGAAGTCTTTCCTCTGTTTATTCAGGCCCAGCCACAAATACATCTCTAATTTAGCCTGAACTGTCCAGCCAGCAGGCCCAAAACCTTTCTTTCCAGGCAGCTGTAATAAAAACAAACAGAATCTCAGCAACATTCAGTCATTTAAAGGAACATTCCACTTTTTTGGCTCATTTTACATGTCCCCTAGGTTTAAACAGTTGACTTTATCTGTTTCAAAGTTGAGTTTAGCCATGAATCCATTCAGCTGATCTCTGGGTTAGGCAGAAGCACTATTAGCTTAGCTTATTACACAAGAACGAGAGTATAGTTTCTAGCTATATCAACCTATAGCAACTTTTAACAGTCTTGGTGCAAATCATAACTACAAAATAGTTTTGCTTTCAATAGCACAATTAGCGAAACTCTTACATTTTTAAGCAAGATGCTAATTATATAATCCGATTCAATGATCTATGCTAAGCTAAGCTAAAAGTGCTCCCACCAGACCCAGAGATCAGCTGAATAGTTTCAAAAATGGTAAAACTCAAATGTTTAACTCCAAGAGACTTGTAAAATATTCCAAAAACAACGAAGTGTTCCTTTAAGTACTTTAATCAACACATTTATTTATAAAGATGGGATAGAAAGCATGAGTTACCCTGAGAAAAACAGCTTTAACTTTTCCACAGTCTTTGCCCATCTCTTCATCGACAATTGAGTAGAGGATGTCTTTGGAGGGTATGCGGGCGTATGCGATGCGTTTGTTGTTGCTAATCATCCATATGAACACATCAGGGATGCTGTGCTGGGGCTAAGAGGAAAATCAACCACAAAGTTTGAGATTCTGATCGTGTTCACTAGGAAGTGATCAGGTGATTTCTTTTACCTCGTCTGCTAAGAATCGAAGCCTCTGAAGGAAATTCAACACTAGCTTGAGTTTATCTCGAACTGTGTTTCTTTTCACTTGTGTGCGGATGGTCTTCGCCTGCTGACCCATACTCTCCTGTGAACAATATAACCACGCAAATTACATTCCCATCAGCAGTTCTCAATGTGTAAGCAGAAACTAAATGGGTTGTGTGGGAGTACCATTTCTCTCATACAGGACTTCAGCCTCTCTCTGTCCAGCTTGGTTCTTCCAGAAAGATTCTGATCCTTGTTTGCAAGTGTAACAAACCGGCTTCAATTGTGGAGAATAAGGAAAAGAAGTCAAGAGATTACTGATTGTTGCATGCGCTGTATGCACATTAGCTCACTGTGTTTTGTCACCTGCAGCTTGTGCTAAGTTCTTCTAATACACCTCTTAGTCTTCGTTCTGGATATGCCTTCTCTGTTTTTATGATCTCTTGAACATCATTCAGACCTTCCTCCTGTTTACAAAGAAAGACATGAACATTAGCTGTGTTCTCATGAACCCTAAATATATGTTTGTAATTAGATTGTTAGTCCTCTCTGCTTAAAAATTCACATTGCCAGTATAATTTGTGTTTATATTTATTTATACTTTTTACATTTATTTTCCAAGTGCTGTTTAAAATAGATACTTTTTTAACCAATTGTTAAACATAATAGTGTTAATAACACATTTCTAATAACTAATTTCTTTTGTAGGGTGTCACGGTGGTGCAGTGGGTAGCATGATCGCCTCACAGTAAGATGGTTGCTGTTTTAAGGCTCGGCTGGGTCAGTTGGCATTTATGTGTAGAGAGTGCATGCTCTCCCAATGTTTGCGTGGGTTTCCTCTGGGTGCTCTGGTTTACCCCACAAGTCCAAAGATATGTGGTAGCCTACAGGTAAATTGGGTAAGTTAAATTGTCCATAGTGTATGTGTGTGAATGAGAATGTATGAGTGTTTCCCAGTGATGGGTTGCAGCTGGAAGGGCATTCGTTGTGTAAAACATATGCTGAATAAGTTGGTGGTTCATTCCGTTTTACTAGATATTTTTCAAGATTTTAGTATTAAGTATGCAATATAAAGGCTTAACTAGGTTAATTAAGCAAGTTAAGTTAATTAGGCCAACCAGTGGGCAACAACGTTTTGTTCTGTAGCCACTGAAAAATAATTATAAAATCTTAAGGGGATCATAATATTGACTCAGCAGTTTTTAATTTTACTAATAATACGGTAATATTGCTAGTGATGATCACTTATAAGTGTCATAAGTCATGCTGAAAATCTTCTTTCAGTCGTTATCTGGTGCAGTATGTCATGCCACCAGTCCCTGCTCTAGACACTAATTTACAAATGCTTAGAATTAGGCACCAGAAAGGGCATTTTTAATGCTTGAAATTTACTTATTTAACACAATATCAGCAACATGGCATAAAGATGTATGAGCTTATCATCTCCCAAAATACATAAATATATTTGCGCTAAATGTAAAAAGCCAGCTCAGCTGGCAGGGGCTATCAACTCCGCCCACCAACTCCTGGTTTGGACAAATGCCTGGCCAAAATGACAAATTACACCCATTTTTCAATAACAATTGTGTAGGGAGTAAGAAACATGACAATGTGATCAACCTAAGTTCAAGCCCACCCATTCTTCTGAATTTTTCATTAATTTTCCTTTGGCTTAGTCCATTATTTATCAGGGGTTACCACAGCAGAATGAACCGCCAACTATTCCAGCATATGTTTCACACATCGGATGCCCCACAAACATCCACAATCCAGTACCATACACTCTCACTTTAATACACCAATTTAGTTTATTTTATTCACTTATAGCGCATGTCTTTGGAGTTTGGGGGAAACAAGAGCACACGGAGGAACCCCATGTAAACACATGGAAGCTTGTACTGTATAGTATAAAAAAATTTTTAATGGGTACTTAGGTGGAAAAAAACCTTCTCATGCCAATAAGACATTAATTTGATAAATATCCTCGTTTACAATAAGTATGGTATTATTGCATACTGTTTAATGATATAGGCTTGATCCTGTGTCACAAATATAAATAGCTTCTTATTACAAAAAAAAAAAGTAAACAGTATGTATTGCTTTTTGTGCAGTATGTAAATATCTACTGTTTAAATATTATGTCAGAATAATTTAATTCTAAACAATGTTAATGTGTTAATGTAGCTAATGTCCAATTGAGCAAAAATAACTTGGAAAAAAACAGCTTAGAGAGAGTAGAATGATCGGTTAACAGTCACATAGCAATTTTAGCAGGAGCCTGACCAGTTTATCAGCTATCTTGTCCATTATGTTGGAGTTGTAGAGACGTCTCCGCTGGTCCTGCCACCAGCTCTTGATGTAAATGCAGGGTTTCTTTTCAAAGTAAGGCAAGTGGAAGTAATTTCTGCAAATAAGGCAAAAGGGATAGTTTAGTACCTAGACACAGAACTTGGCAGCAGCTGGTACTAATTGAAAATAAACAGTTACTCTTCTGTACAGTAATTTTTGGATTCATACATCTAACATTGTACAGTCATTTTATAACTATGTGTTACAATTTAAAGATGCTTTGAAGTGTTTCTTTGACATTCTCATTTCCCTCTGACCTGTCGGTGATAACAGGCTTCATAGGAGGTGTAGACGGTACAGAGGTCAGATCTCCATCATCCTCTGCCTCTTCCTCGCTGGAGTTGTGGATAAGCTCAGACTCCTCTTCTTCACTCTCTCCTCCACCCTCCTTCTTCTTCTTCGCTAATGCAGGCTTGCTCACACCATCAATCTGGTTACCATAGTTACCTAAGTGGAAAATGGTGTAGATGTGGTGCAGCATACGCTTCATATTTTGATGTTTTGAGATCACTACAGCATTGCTTGCTATTTTTGTCAGCATATTGAAAAGTGAAAGAACTGAAAAGAGACTTCAGGTAACTTCAGCTCACCGATGGTGACTTCAAAGCTGATGGGTTTATCTCCTATTTTTCTGTCTATCATTGTGGCCTCCAAGAATGACCCGAAAAGGAAAAATTCTTCCATCTTTCCTGTAGCACTCTGAAAGAAAAAATATCTGATTTTTAAAAAATCTATTTACAGATACAAGATCTGATACATACAAAGTTCAAAATACAGCTTTACATCCCATCCCAATTCTCAATCACCTCCACAACTAAACACACACCAAGATCAGCTAGTCATAACAACAATATTGTAAGTATAAGTATTAAATTATACATTAAATGTACAAACAAATAATACCAAATCAAATAAAACAAATAAGGTTAATCCTTTTAAAGGTTCAAGACACACTCAAGTACTGTTTTGTGTGTGTTGAGCATCATTTAGGACGACATTAGCACCTGTCAGCTTAAATTGTGGAGTAAACTGGAAAATTTAGAACTTTTGTCAGCTAATTTCATCTTCTGGGTTTAAAATAATTTTTGGGGTGGGATCAAAATCTGTGATGTATTGCAAATCTGCTAGTGGAATGTGTGCGTCAGTTTCTTATTATTATTAATAGCTGAGTTTTCTTATCCTATAAGAAGAGCCTGCTTCTTAATTATTCATGAGAGCACGTGCTTTACGAAGGCAATGCAGACCTGCCAAGCTGTGAGACCCAATGACTGGGTAAGACCGTGTCCGCTCACAGCAAGCAGTATTTAGCCATTCATTAAGGGTCGTTTGCATTTGTTTCCATGATTCACAAGATTTTTTTTTTCCTCACGATGCTGTAAGGGCAGATACAGCAAAGCTGTTGGTTTGCAGGAAGCAGTTTTGTCAGGAGAACGGCGGAGTTTGTCTTTTATCAGTTGAGTTTGTTACCATTCAGTCACATCCCCTTTATCTGTGCTGCTGTGTTTGCCTACAGTATGTTTACATACCTCCGGATTACCGGCAATGGTTGGAAAAGACGGGTAAAGAGACCTGCTGCACTGCTATCCACTGTGTGCATTCAGAACCGGGGATTCAGAGAGAAATCCACCTCATTTAGTGTTTACATGATTATCTTTACAATAATATAACAGATTGTGCTTATGTGTTTCTAAAATTACACAAAACATTTCATGGCCCTTTAATAGTAGTTTAGTAGTGTTTCCATGCTTCATAAAAAAGGTTTTATAGTATATGCATGTGTCTTCTAGCAACATTGGCAGGCAGCAATGTCTGAAATAAGATATTTTAAGGTAAGAATGTCTGAACCATGCACTGATTTGATCAAAGTTACAAAAATAGTTTAATAATTAGCTGTGAAGTGGAACAGATACCCTATACTGTTTTGTATTTCATTACATCGAGATCTCTCACATAATTTCTCTCAGACATGAATAGGGTTTTCCCAACAGTGGGCATGTGAGTTCAGTCAGAAATTATAATTGACTCTTCATGTTTTAGCCCAGCAGGGGTTTTCACTGAACTGAAGCTATGATCTTTGATCATATAAAACTCTCTTTATATTCTGCTGTCCTTAGCAGAAAGTCAGAAATGAAATTCATAAAGAAGTAACTTTTTTCCGTACTGTTACTGTACTCTACTGTGACAATTTATTCAAATGTTGATGACAAAAATATTATAGAAGAGATTAAATTTTCACTTTTACAGTTACACCAGCAGCTAGGTTTTGACTAGTTTTAGTTTAATTGCTTATTTTAGTTTAATTGCTAATTTTAACTTTATTGAGTAGGTATAGGGTATACATTTTTATAGCTGATGAACAGACTCCACAATTTTTGTGTTAAATCAAAATAAAAACATTGAGTACTTTTCATTTAATTGTTGTCAATTCATTTAATTTAACTAATTTATTTGTTACTTAATCTGTTGAATTCAATTAATAATATTGCTTGTAATCTGTCACCTCAATTTTGTTGAGTAGATATAAATATAGGTATTATTTTTACAGTGTAGGATACTACTAAATTTGCTCAATGTTAACTTGATCCTACTGTATGTTCATAGAATATTAAAGTTGAATTTAAAACACATGATAATAAATGTAAATAAAGACTGAAACAATAATTAATAATAACTACTTCTGTGTTAAAATTTCAATAGCCAGTTTACAATGACATTTTTTTCAAGTTGTGTTAATGTGCCCCCACTTGGATGCATGTATTTCTCTCTCTCAATAATTTTGTTATAGTGCAGCATACAGTCAAGCAGGACTTATTTGTTTGCAAATGATAATCAGATGTCTTGCAACGCCAGTGTCACAACAAATAGTTTTGGAAATCTAAAAAAATGATACACACTGAATTGCACTACATGGAAAATATGGAAATGTAAATGAATCTCACAAAGCTATTACATGACTTCAGAAAAGTTATAATGCACCAGATGGGCAAAAACTACTTTTATGATAATTTCAAGATGCTTTTATGCTGCTTTCTTTTTGAAGCTTAAAAAGCTCTAATCCTTGTTTGTTGTAATTGCACAGAAAATGTACAGTATTCAAAATGCATCCTTTTATGTTACACAAAAAAGAAGATGATTTAAAAAAAAAAGAAAAAAAAGACAAAACATTTATTTATAGGAAACTATCCCTTTAAGAAGTCTGCTCAACCTTTTCTCTTATCACTAGGAAAACATCTGATTTTGTGTGCACGTCTCTAGCTCCCTTGTTTCATGTCAATGATCACACCTTTGACATATCTTTGGCCTGCACTTTTTTATATCTCTATTCCTCACATATCTTGGATCAATGCAAACGTTTTTAAAGTGGCAGGTTAGACATGCCATCAAAGCCATTTGGGACTATGAGAATCATGTGTTTGCCTCCACATCAAGTGTGATAACTAATCTTGCCCTTCAGTAAAATTCATTTGACAATCAATATTTGCTCCCAGAGGCAGCACAAAATCTCAGACGGCTGGACTCCCACATATGCAATGACTTCTTGTCTGAGGACAAAGAGCTTGGCCTTGTAATTTCCCAACGGGCAGTTGATATTTTAGACAATCAGGATTGATCTGTTTGCCTTTGGAAATGGTAAAAGGGGGTCCAGAGATTACAGATTACCTAAATTGGATTCTTTTTTTAAACAGTAAATAAAAATATTCCAACAAAAATGTGCAAACATTACAACAGAAATGCAGTAAGATATTTTTTTTCAATGAGTGAAAATGCTCACCATGCAGATTTCACTCATTTCAAGTTTTTCTTTATACAAATTATTTATATCCTATTCTATAAGAAAGAAATCTAGTAGGATTAATAATTAAACATTTGATATTTGCCTGCTTTCGAATAATTACAGTGTATTATTGATAATATGACCACATCAATTTTCTCAAAACAATACAAATTTGACTGTGGTGCAACTTATAGACAATTTTATGATAGATTTTTCAGAAAATATGTGAGACTGGACCTCAAAACCCATCATACTGTATATTTACATTTTTAATAAGCTTTCCATTGATGAATAGTTTGTTAGGATATGACAATATTTAACATTTTATATTTAGACCTTTTGAGAATCTATATCTTATGGTTAAAAAAAATAATATTTACAAAAATATAAATGCACATTACCTATTAAAAATTTAGTTTTTATATATTTACAGTAGAATTAAAAAAAAATATCTTCATATAACATGATCTTTACTTAATATTTTAAAGTTTTGACCCATACAATGTATTTAACAATGTGTGTAATTTTACAGCTGCCAAAAAGATACACACGCAACTTAAGACTGGTTTTGTATGAAATGTACTGTATGTGTTTAAAATGCAGTGATAAAAAGAGTACTGAAAAATCCTACTTAAGTTACTTGTAGTGCAAAAAGTATCTGTGGTAAATATTACAAAAGTTTGAGTAAAAAGTAGACCTTTCAAAATTATTTAAGAGTAGTGAGTAGTGAGTATTACGCTGTAAAAAGCTGATGCATTTACATCTAATTTGTGGATGTGTATAAACGTAACGTTCTGTAGTGCATTTAGTCATTGCTCAGCATGCACACAACATCATAAGATGTTAATATTAGGATAGATTTAGGGTGTGATGTTGGGTGACCAAAATTCAATGTCCAGCCAGCATCTAAGAACGTTTTTTTATTATGTCAAGTGATGCTGGATTTTAGGTTGTGTTAGAAAGTGACCCAAATCCAACGTCAAGTCAACGTCTGAACCAACGTCATATTGACGTCAAACATTGCCATATTCGTCAAGTATGGCAACCAAAATCCAACATCTAATAGACATTATAGTGGTAACACCCACACAACCTCAAGCTGTAACATCATTAGACACTGATATTTAGTTGATTTTAGGTTGGACGTTGGACAATGATGTCAACCGATTTTTATTTCCAAACAAAATGCAACATCTTCACGACTTTGGGGTACAACGTCAATCTGACATCATGTTATGGTCTTGTGGCTGCTGGGTGTTTAAGGCCATTTCAGTCATCATACAGTAAACATTAATCTTCTCATCAGTGAGATGCGTCTGAATTAATCTTCACCGGGTGATGGCAAGTAAAGATTTTGGACATCTTCTTGAACACTTTTAACGATTCCAAATAGTTTACTGCAATTGTAATTATAAATCGCCCATGTCTTGAGGTAGTTCAATATGAGGCGTTTACCTTCTATGTGCGATTTGATTGGACAGGAATTACAGGACTAATTTTTTAATCTTCATAGACAAAAAAAAAAGTAGTGACTGCAGGTTGAAGGAAAGTGGTGGAGTAAAAGTACTGATACTGCACTATAAATGTACTCAAAGGAAAGTAAAAGTACACATTTTTAAAACTACTCAGTAAATTACTATTCCTGAGAAAAAAAAAAAACACTCAATTACAGTAGTTTGAGTATTTGTAATTAGTTACTTTACACCCCTGGTAAAATGTAAACAGAAGAGTTTTTGTGTTTAACTGTTTTTACACAAAATGATGTTTTATTTTAATTTCACATGTTTTGTTTTAATGTCATATTTAAAAAATGGTGGCACCATGCATACTGTATTTGTATTATTGTTCATTCTATAAGCATGCATGTGTACAGCATATGTACTGTACAAGTAGACTCTCACCTCTGAGATGTTGGACACCGGCTCCATGTGTACTTCAGTGGAGCTCATGATCTCAGCAGAGGTGGTGTCTAGAATCTCCACCGCGATACTAATGAGCAGACGTGCTCTGAAGGACACCCCTTCCCCCAACCCCTCATTCAGGTCCTGGTGTTCGTCCATCAGGGTGTAGTTACGGGTCGACCCATACATATTCACCCAAGCCGGACCCATAGTGGGCAAGAAACCTGGAGAGAGATGGAGTGGAGCTGTAAACATAAACCACTGTTTATGGATGTACATCCTGCACATTCATTACAGTGTTAGTGTTTCACTGGGACAGATCGTAGGTACCTTTGTCTCCATCATTGGAAACCTTTCGTAGATCAATGAAGTGGGTTCCTATGGCAACATCGTTCACCTTGTCTGAATCACGGATCTGAACTTTCAGTCGCCTACACAAAGGTGGGAACATCTCCGTGAAGATGACTTGCTCGTTCCAGATGGGCTCGTAGCTGCTCTTCTGAACAGATGTTTTGCCCTGTGAGCAGCATGAGAAACATTTAATTTAGGCAAGACACTGCAGGTGAATAGGGTAAACTGACAGATATCACCAAACTTCATCAGTTGGTTGATTAAATTAGGAAGTGCAATTTATTTGCATGAGTTTTTAATCAACTCAAACTCAGCACACCTGAAGAAACAGTAGGCGCATAGGAGAAAAACACCATGTCAATTTTTATTTAGGATGTTAACTTAATTTTTTTGTAATTCATTTTTTATTAGAATTAATAAAAAAAACATTAAACATACTAAACAAATAATTTATAATCATTAAGACATATTTCATTTTTTACTAATTCTATTTTCTTCTTTTTTTGTTTGTGTGTTTTGTATTGGAGTCATGATTATTTGTTATATTATGCATGGCTAAGGATTTGCATTTGTGAAATTTGTTTTTATTATATATAATATATACAGTTGAAGTCAGATCTAGTCTTTGATAGGGTCGAAGAGAAAGTCTGAACATAGGGTTTTGGTGACATATGTTAGAACATACAGTTGAGGTCAGAATTATTAGCCCCCCCCCCCCTATTCTTTTTTTAAATTTTCACAGTTTGTCTGATAATAATTTTTCTTTTCGAGACTGTCTTTTTTGTTTTATTACGGCTAAAATAAAAGCCGTTTTTCATTTTTTAAAAAACATTTTAAGGTCAAAATTATTAGCCCCTTTAAGCTAGATTTGTTTTTGATAGTTTATAGAACAAACCATAGTTATACAATGACTTGACTAATTACCCTAACCTCCCTAGTTAACCTAATAAACCTAGTTAAGCCTTTAAATGTCACTTTAAGCTGTATAGAAGTGTCTTCAAAAACATCTAGAGAAATATTATTTGCTGTCATCATGGCAAAGATAAAATAAATCGTGGTAAAAATAAATGTGTTGAAGAAATCTACTCTCCGTTAACAAGAAATCAGGGAAAACAATAAACAGGGGGGCTAATAATTCTGACTTCAACTGTACATGTCTGGTGAAGGTCAGGAGACCAAAACCTTACATTTAATAAATCTTCAAGGAAGTATTAATCACAGTATTGATTATTAGTTTGCTTCATAACAAATTTTCTATTTAATTGAATATGAACACATATTCACAAGTTCAAAATTCTTGTTTTCCTTTTTTTCCCTACATTTGTTATGTATATAATCAGACAAATTATGCATAAACATATCCCTCGGTAAAAATCGACAGAATGTATTTATGAATAAAATTAGATTTTGGTGTACAGTATAAAAGTTCCGGTAAACTGATGTTTTAAAGTAAAAATACTCATCTTGAGAATATAGATTTAGAATTTTTAAAATTATAAATAAATAAAGTAAAGAATAAACAATTAAATGTGTATTTTGGATTTTGAAAATACACTTCAGGCCAAAAAAGTGTTTTGCTACTGTCTAATTAAAAAAATGTTTGATATAAATAATGACCCCTTGTTAAATGTTTTAGTGGTTTCTTACCTTTTGCCCTGCAAATTGCACCAGGACGTAAGGGTCCACAAGGTCCCTGTTTTCCCCAATAAAGGCTTTCTTCACGTTGGCCATGATACTGGTGTTCATTTTAGGCAGACCCTCAGCTCTATAAATCTTAACATAAAACCGAGCCCACTGTCTCTCTGATGGAACACCCTCCGGCAAGAGAAGATTCCTGCAATAAATCATCAAACATGAGAATAGACCGACATGACACTTAAATATATAATAAATAAAACGAATGACTTAAGGGATAAATGCATGAAAAAAGAGGTGACTGTATGAATGAATTAATCATCAGAGAGTTTCATAAATGCTATGACAAGTCTACGTTTCTTTTTTAAGAATGAATTTTGTAAGAATGAATGAATAAATAAATACATTCAAAATTGAATAAACAAATAAATGTTAGAATAAAAAGCAATTAAATGTAAAAAAAGAATAAAATGGTAAGAACTAATAAATAAATAAATGTATGAATCAATGTATAAGAATGAATTAATGATTAAATGTAAGAGTAAGTGAATGATTGATTGATTGATTGATTGATTGATTGATTGATTGACTATTGTAAGCATGGATGAATGAATTATTGAACAAACAAACAAATGAATGAATTAATCAGGCAAAACACTATGTTTGTTAACATCTAATAATATCAAATACCTTCAAATGTACTAATAAATTAATTAATGACTGAATTAACAAATATGCACAAGCCTTCCAAATCTGGCACCAATCCAAAATTGGTGCTACAGTATGGCACAATTTATTATCACATGATTAGAACACAGCACACTAACCCCTCTATGTCATCCTCGTCTGCTTCACTGGCCTTGTGTGGAGTCTTGATGTTGTCTCCTTTTCCCACGACTGCGATGTCACATTTAACATAACCTTTGCAGCCAGTCGTGATGTCATCAGGGTCTGACAGCATCGCCCATTTGTGATGAAACTGATGTTCTGTGAGAAACATTCAACAAATAAAAGCCATCTTCCCATTTAATCAGTACATCTCTCACTTATTTTTATGGTTACCGACCAGGTTGTGTGTAAACAGTCCCCACGTCTAGTTTGAAGGTGCCCACGAGGGTGCCGCTTCGCAGAAGGTTTTTAGAATGTATTACCTTAATTTTAGCAAAAAAAAAAGTACAACTTAATCCGCTGTTTCCAATGGAGGTTTGATTAAAGGTTTGTAAAAGTGTATGATGCGTGGCTTTATCTACTCACTGAAATCTTTATAATTTTGTCAAACATGACGTCTGGAGGCACGTGGAAGTCGAAGACAAAATACTGTTTGAAGAGAGAGAGATAAAGATAATCAAAATGGCTGTAGACATGAAATTAATGAGACTGTTCATCATCTGCTGTACGTGGGTGTGCAATGTTTATCACCTACGACAATCTAATATTTAATGTAGGATCTGGCATTATAATGCATGTCACTGCTTAGTAAAAATAAAAAAAACAAGTAAAACAAGTAAGAAGACTAAAAAAAGTGTTCATTATGAAATAAAACTTTTTTAAGAGTTCACACTTAGCTGATGAGTGATAATAAATCTTATTTGGCATGCTGTCCCAGGAGAGAGCCCTGAGCTCATTAGATCCTTGAGCCCGGGACTCCCTCGTGTTTGCAGGGCGAGAGGAGAATTTGAGCTAAGGAAGTTCTCAAAGACCTTCCTGACTTATTTTGGGCTAATAAAATGGCTAAGAAGAGATGTACACTTGCTAAGAGCTTGGCTATGGACTGTGGGAGGAAATCAGAGAACCTATGGAAAACCCACGTGAGCACGGGAGAAAGCAAACTCCGCACAGAAATTATCAAGATGAAGACTCTGAGATAAGAAAACTCTGGTTATTTATAAGTGAGTCAGGAATCATCTGTTAATCAATCGTAAGCTTATGCGGGACCAGCTGTGATCAATCATAAGCATGCGATCCTCCCGAAATTAGTTTATAAACTTCACTTAGAAAGTTGTCATAATGCAAAATGTACATTTCAAATTAAGAAATGAAAAATAACCATTAATGTTTTTATAAGATAATTAAATTATATTTTAAAAGCAAGTGTCGCTTTAACGATTATTGGCATTAGAACATGACTATGTAATATGGATTTTACACAATAAAAAGGGAATTTTAAATTATTTACATGTTAGACAACTTATTGTTTTTTTTTTTTTAATGGTTGGTCAATGAAAACAGATCCATCCAACAGCATGAGCAAAACATATGTCTCTCTTAGAAAAACACTTGCGTGTTCAATCAAGTCATTTGCTTTTTATTAATGATTCAATGATCTATTCATGAAGACACCCACTTACTACGTTTCTTAATGAATCAGACATTTGAAAGAAATCGATTGAATGAATAATACATTGAATCACTCATAGCTTCATAATTATTTATCTCTGACAGGCGTAAATACTGTAGGAAAAGGTACTGGCATAAAAACACACTCAGCAAAAAAGCAGCAAACAAACCAGCTAATAAAAGTCATACTTTGTCAAAGTCACGCAGCACTAAATTGAAGTGTTATTTAGTTTTCAACACAGCAGCTCCATTGAAACTTAACAGCCAAGTAAAAGTCAATTATTCTTGCTTTCTAAAAGTTCTGTTATTTAGGGTCAGGGACGAGGTCAGGGACAAGGGCTGTGAATTAGCTTTATGCTATATGTACGCAACACCGGTTATCTTTGTACTGTATAACAATGCCAAGTGTATTGTCCCTGTAAAATAAACAAGCAAATAAAAAATATAGTTTCTGATTAAAGTGTGTTTCCATTTATTTAAACTTTCATAAGCTTTGATATTTTTGGAACAGTAGTTTAAAATTCTGTCTAAGTGGTGTAAATTACTATGCAAAACCAAGTACTTATCTGCAAGTATTTCTGTTATTATTGCATTCAAATTGACTTGTCTGTACAATTTTTCTTAAAAACACATTCATTCATTTATTTTATTTTTGGCTTAGTCCCTTTATTATTCCGAGTTCGCCACTGCGGAATGAACCACCAACTTATCCAGCACATGTTTTACGCAGCGGATGCCCTTCCAGCCGCAACCCATCTCTGGGAAACATCCATACACTTATTCACACACATACACTTCAGACAATTTAGCCTACCCAATTCACCTGTACCGCATGTCTTTGGACTGTAGGGTAAACCGGAGCACCCGGAGGAAACCCATGCGAACGCGTGGAGAACATGCAAACTCCACACAGAAACGCCAACTGACCCAGCTGAGGCTAGAACTAGCGACCTTCTTGCTGTGACTACCTACAGCGCCACCACGTCGCCCTTATACAACATATTCTTTAAACCACTAAATGTGTCAATAAAAATTACTTTTAAAAGCTCTCAAAGCAACGTGTCCCATAATGCAATTGAAAAGTAAATAAACAGAAAACACCCACATGAATTATGGACAACTGTTAATTATCAGACATTTTTACTGTGTGCATTTCTAATCCAACATGCATTAAACCTGTTAGTAAACAGACAGATCCTTTTCCAACCAAACATTTAAAGGGGACCTATTGTGGTAAAATAAGTCTCTAATGTCCCTGTGTATGTAAAGTTTTAGCTCAAAATACCCAACAAAAATGTTTTAGAACTATTTTAAACAGCCTCTTTTAGGCTTTGATCCAAATTGTGTCATTTTGGTGACTGTCACTTTAAATTCAAATGAGGGCAGGCTACAAATGCCTATGCATGGATTTAAAATAGCACTAGCATTAGCTTTGTGAAAAACTGAAAATGTCAAAAACAGTGGCTTAAAAAAGGTAGTGTATGGAGACTACACTGTTCATTTGGGCATCCTAAAGCCCCACATTCATAATGATTCTTAGTCACTGACAATATCTTTGACAGATACTTTATATGATAATAATAGGGTGATCGTCGCTAATCTGTAGGATTTAGGTAGGTTTATAAAAAATGTACTTGATTAAGTTTTACCATTAGAGGCGGGCTATATTTAGACAAGTTATTTATTTATTATAAGTCCCCTTTACATTATCATATGTTGAATCAGAAATCCATTGTGGCTTTTTGAATTTATCACTATTAATTCCATTTTTTTAAATATGATTAAAAAGCCTAAATAAAATAACATGAAAAATATTTTTTATATTCTTTGTTTTATTATCTGCTCAGACGTTTCATCACTGTGAATGTCATCACCTCATTGTAGTAAGGGCAGTTTGTTGACTCCTTCATTGACGTGTACTTCTTCTCCTCTCCAATTTCCACGCAAACCACAGGGTCCATGTTCAATCCGACCAGCTGACGGGCCTCGATTACTGTAACACTGATCTGCAAGACATCACAATTCAACTAAATAATACTGCTGATAAAACCTACAGTGGGCGTCTTTGACTAAGACTGATGAGGCTGTGTTCATTTGGGGGTGAAATCTGTTATGCATTTATTACTACAGAGAGCAAATTAGTTAAGTTTGCTTTGGGGATTTAAATGACAAATGAGCTCCAGCGTATCCTACTGGATCACAGATTCATAAAGTAAATATCCAAGGCTGCATATAGACAAATTACCAAACCAAACTTAGTCAATGGAAAGAAAAGCATAACACTTTTCATCCTTTCAGCTCGCAAGTGAGCCAAGATAATTCAGATTTACACAGCTAAAATGAACTACCAAATGAAACCCAGGCTCATTGCGGATACATACCCAGGTCTACATTTCTGAGGACAGTGAAATACGTAACTGCAAGTATATCTGCGTGCAGTTTTTGCTTATGCAAATCCGCCAGAAGCCACTCTTTACACTTTTTGATGGTCTCTGTCACGTGTCCTCTTCTCACGTAAATCCACCAGAGGGCACAACATACACTTCAGCAGACCAGGGGCCTCATGTACGAAGACTTGCATGGAAATCATACTAAAACATTTACAGCTTTGTGCTTATGCAGAAAAAAATTCAGATGTATGAAACACTGCGTATGCTGAATCTCACGCATATTCTTTTGTACATCCGAACGAACGTGAAACTGAGCGCAACATGCACGAGCACAAAACCCCCTTCCTGCCTCCTCCCCCGTATGAATATGCTAATGACTCTACTTTGGCAAAACCCAACGAAAAAGCAATGACAAAATCAAGCAAAAAGAGAAACTTTGAACAGAATGTGAATTGGAGGTGCTGCTTTCGGAGGTAGACCGGAGGAAAACGGTGTTATTTGCAAGTTTGTTCTCCGGAATTAACAGCAAAAGAAAAAAATAGAATGGGGAGAGTTTAGCTGATGCGGTTAACACAATTGGGTCTGAACATCGCACTGAGTGAATTAAAAAAGAAATGGTGTGATTTATGGGTGTAAAATGTTGCTGCATCCGTAACAGTCTCAGTGGCGCAGCTCGTAAGATGCATTTCAACATGTTTTGACACGTTTGAGCATGAACTCGGTTCGAATCCAGCATCATATCAGATTTTGCCAACTATTTATCACGAGAAATACAAGTAGGATTCAATAATAAGTTTGTGCATCATATTTTATTTGCACATTCATTGAATGGAAATGTTTCTGATTCACGCATGAAAATTCATCTTCAGATAGTGTCTTTATAGCAATGTGCGTGCAGTAGATAGCTCAGATTACATTGGGAAAACAGGCGACCGCTGCAAATTGTGCTTTAATGTTTAGCTGGTCAACGGTACGGTATGGAAACCTTATATACCTGCTAGATGAACCCGTCTCATATAGCTGCTAGAGCAAGGCTCAGACACTTTGTAGAGAGCAATTTAACACAACTGCCTCTAGGAGTCGCCAATGGAAATAAAACAGACACTCACAAAAAATGTGCGTATGCCAGCCATAAAGCTGCCGTGGAGCTGCGCACATTCCCACGTTCAGTTCATCGTTAGTAAATCCAAACGTTGATACATGAGACCCCAGGCCAGCTTGCTGTCAACTGACTGACTGACAAACCATCCCAACCACTTCCCTAAACCCAACCAATAGTGTTTTCAAAAGGCAATCTAGAAAAAGAAAAGCATTGCAGCTGATTTCTCTATGTTTTCAGCCTGTTTTTATTATATTTTTCTTTTCTTTTACCTGCTGTCAGGAAATCGGTTTACACAACAAGCTACTGGGCCAACTGATGACACCAGAAAAGCTGTCCACACAGAGGTAAGCGGTTAACAGTAGCATGAAGAGGAACAGAGCTAATGGCGATCTCATACTAGCCCATAGCATTCATTTTACGAACGAAATGGAGCTAGACATACCTCTGGGTACATAATTTGCAGTCTCCAGAAATGTAGACAGGGGTACGTATCCACAATGAGCTTGCGTTGCACAAATTGCAATGTCTCTAATATGTTCACCACATTGTGCCACCTTTATTGCACTCCAAAGCTACAATACTAAGAGACAAATGCAAATAAACTTTGCTTCATAGAATCTTCAGAAAAACACAGATAATAATAACGCTTAGAATTGCAGTCTGCAATTATTCTTTCAGCAAATGAGTTGTAAAAGTAAGAGAAAGACAGAAAAGCAGAGTTCCCAACCTCTGGCAAAATATGAACTATTAGAGATAAGGGAATAATGTGAAAAATGGCCTAAAAAACACTTACGCAGCACACAGGGGATGTTCTGTATGGATTTCCAGCATTTAAAGGAATTATGCAGTGCCAGGACTGAAGCGAATTTGCAATTCAACTGGCATGCAGAGGACAATTAGTAAGCAAACATCAAAGCCTCTCTAAAACACTGACGCTCAAGGCTCATGTTGTTTATTTGGGACGGCTCTGTGTTTCAAGGCTTTGAGCAGAATACACTACTCAAGGATAAATGCCACTGGCTTAACATGTCTCCTTGGCAATTCGAGGCTGCGAAGCTTTTGTCTGAGGGAATGTTATCGAGCTCCCTTTTCTCTCTGTTTAATCGTTTCTCTGTTCCTACCTGATAATCAACCGGACGCCCTGAACTCGGCTCCATTTTAATGTCAGGCTTTGATCTGGAAAAACAAGAGGATCAACCTTAAGGACACAAATTTAAACGATTAGTTGTTTTAAATCAAATTTTGCATGTATTATGTCGAGCACACAATAAAATATGGAAAATCAAACATGTCAACTAGACCTTGATTAGGTATTTTTATCAAACTAATTACATGAAAAACAAAAGTCAATGAAACAACATCAGAAACAAAGCAAACTGTTCTTTCTTTAATTTTAGAAAGGAAGAAAGAAAGAAAGAAAGAAAGAAAGAAAGAAAGAAAGACATAAATAGGAGGTTTTTCTTCCCTGTGACCTTTTCACAAACATATAAACTTCAAGAAGCAAACATACAAACTTCAAAATAGAATAGTGTACGTGTATGGGTTTAAAAATACAGCATGTGCACATTAGACATGTGACCTTTTGTTGGAGACATTAGTGGTCACTGCAGTAACCGAGGCCAGTGAGATTGTATCAGGGTCAAGAATGCCGCCTAGACGCATGGCTTTTCGATCCAGATCTTCTGCATCCAGAATGGCAGCATCATCTGCACACAAGAGCACAGAAGTGAAACTTTGAAAGGAACAGGCTCCATTTCTTTTATAAAATATATATTTATAATATGCAATCAACTTCTGTTCCTTTTAAAGTTTCATGTCTAATGTGCAGTTTATGATTCTTCAGTCTTTACAATTGATGTCTAAAGTAAAATACCAACAAATCAAAACCAGTGAATATCAATGAATGAATGTCATATAATGATTAAAAATGGAGACACAAATACTTATACTTAATAGCTGCTAATGATTATTATTATTTTATTTTTTTGCCAATTTAATACAATTTTCTAGCCTCTCTTGTTAAGAAAAAGTACATTTTATAGAAAAAACATGGATAACAACAAAAATTGCTAAATTAGTATTCAAATTCATTTTAATATGGTCCAAATTGGGTGCTTCACGCTTTTTTATTGGTCATTTGTTTTTGTTATCAAGAATAAGGTCCAAAATTTACTAGCAAAATGTTTTCTCTATTTAAAAATAATACAATAGCGAAAAATAACTTCACTTACATATTGTATGTTTTATTGCACAGCTGGATGTTGGACTCATGAAAAATAATAGTTTGCATTGGCCAGAACTGATTAGCTGAAGTCACACTGATGTGACGATCGACAGAGGATTCCGCTTGGTCTTAAAGCCTTTTTCAATGGGTTATTTTCACAATTTATGATGGTGTAACAGTCAAAATAGGACAAATGAGCTCATGTATGGGACAAATTCTAGACCTTTGTCATTGAGGGGTGGGTCTTTTAAACTCTTCAAACTCTCGCAATTTTGTTCAATAAACATACTGTACATTAGACTTTCATCTTCCACAAGTGTTCTAATGATGATCAATATTTACCTCCTTTTTTGTGGTCATCTTTAGAGGTGCGGGTCTTGCCCAGCTTCATGGCTGAGAACACTCCTTTTCCTGCCCTACAACACAACACACAAACAAGCACGAACGGAGGGGGAAATCAATATTTGCTCTGCGATTCCTTTTTAAATCACCTCTACCTCCGAGCCTCCCTAACACTGAATAATTTATACCAGTTTAAACTAAGAAATATGATTATGTTTCATACATATTGTATTAAAAGCAGTGATGCATTTGGATACATTCCACAATTTAATCATATAAATTATTAACGCATACAGCTCACTTGTATGTTGTGCCATGGACAGATACTTTCCCCCAATTTTCAAACATTGTGTTGCAATTTAGTCATTATTTACACCTCTGCCTCATGATGCAAGCATAGGATATCTTCTACAATCTTTTTCCTTGACTTTTTCTGATAATCTGACAATAACGAGAATGTTTTCTGAGCTTTTATAAATGAGTCAAGATCAGTTAAGCAACACATTAAAATATTCTTAGTCAAAACTGCAGTCTATTTAGCAAATGAATGTGTTTACATCAGGAGAAGATTTTCAAGAGAACATGAAATAAAGAGAAATGGATTTAGGTCTATTACAAAACAGAAAAAAATGATGACACACATTGCACAAGTCAATAAATCAATAAAAAGCCTGATACGCATGATGCATTTTTATGTGTGGATGCATGAGAAAAGAGAAATTGATTTATAACTTCACTTTTCTTTGACACATAGATATTTCTTAAAAGATATCCAGGTATACAAACACATTTTACAGTACATAAAGTGCTCAGCATTCATAAGTCCACCCCTCACAAATCTCTTTCTTAAATTCAGATTTTTACATTCATAAGCTATGCAATATTATATCTGTGCATATACATTAGATCAGTCAGTACTGAGGACAAATATGGTTCAGAAACTAATACACCAAAATGTATGTGTTATAGAAAAATATTAAATATAAATTTTATAAAAGAGAAAGAAATCAAAAGAGACAAAATAATAATAATAATAATAATAATTTAGTTTAAATTTTGTAGGTTGTAATTTTTTTTTTTTACAATATTTTGCTTGAATTTAATTGTATTATCTCTCAGTCTCTAAATATGTTTGGTGACTAAAATATTATTTTAATAAATATCTGTTTAATAAATCTGTTTTGTTTAAAAAACAAATAAGGTGTATAAATAAGGTGTACTTATACTGAGCACTGTACATACAGTTTAAGTTTATTTTATCATTTGTAAAGTTTGAGTGCAATCAGATCATCACTACTGGAGCATGATGATGGAAAATTTCTGTGATATTTATCACTCAGACGAGACAGTCGTTTCAACAGCGGGACCCCACTCACAATAGCCCCGCTGGTGTCCAATAACTCTGCACTGATATTATGGTGATTAGATATCAGTTCCCCCACAAAGGCCTGATGATGTCACAGGCCGGCTGGACAAATAACGGCACTTAATTATTCAACAAGATGGGCACAATTCGCCAATTAGCTGTGATCTGTGGATATAGATACTTTCTCAGGACTAGATGAAAGAAATCCAGATCGTTTTGTTCCTTTCTTTCCTTTCAGCACTTTAAGTGGAGGGAAAATGCAACAGGATCACACTGACTTCACCAGTGTTTGGATTAATTACATACATTTACAGGTTACATTGCCTGGATATTCTGCAGTTTAGTTATTATTTGCAGCTCATTCTTATATGATGGAGGCATATCTGATGCAGTCTGTCTTATTGAATCTTTGTAAACAACTTAAAGTGACAGTGAAGAGAAAGTCTTCAAAGTTCACACGATTTTATCCATTAATAGAAATAAATAACGATAATACGCGTTTTTTTTTCCAAACAAAAAAGCTATTTTGTTACTCTTAAGTAAAAAGCGCACAAGTTTATCAAATCACATTTGTGTATTATTATTACTTTATTTTCGTTTATGAAACTAAGTGACTGTATGCATTTTTATTAAAAAAAATAAAAAAAGAAGTGTGTTAAGTTTATGTATATGAAATCCACAGCAGAAAACAAATATCTGACTCTGCTATGCAAAGAAAGACAAAAAGCATCGCAAATAAAACAATCCTGATACACGTCATATACACATATGCTTTCATAGATACACAAATAACATAGGATACTCACCAAAACAGAAACAACCAAAAATCCCCCGACAGAAAATGTGTATAAAAATAGATATTCCTGGCTAGAGTGTGTACTATATGTCCATTTTCAGTGGCTAGTCCAGCTAGTCCAGATTCAAGCACAGAATCCACACAGCTAAAGAGACACTTCTCAGACTAAACGGAACATCCACAATAAGGGAGAACCTGAGATGATGGCCCGGTATAGGTGAAAAAGTAACAGGAGAGAATGTGACCTCACACTCACACACACACCAATACAAACTCACACTCCCCCACACATTCACTCTCACTATCTCACAGATGTGGCCCATATAAAATTACTGTTGTGTAAATCTAAATATACATTCAGAATAAATTAAAAATACTTTTTTAGCAGTGATGCATTAATCAAAATAAAAAAACATTCAGTTACACTTTATTTTGATGGTTCGTGTGTTGAATTTAAGTTATATTGCATTTACATGTCAACTAATTCTCATTAGATTTTACAGTAAGTAGACTGTTCAGTTGAGGTTAGAGTTGGGGTAAGGGTTAAGGTTAGTGTAAGTTGACGTGTACTTGCAAAGTTTCTTATAGTCAGTTAAAGGACCAGCATCAACAGATATTAAGCAGACAGTCTACTAATACTCAAAAGAACCATTAAAATAAAGTGTTACCAAACATTCTATTAAATATTGTATCAAATAAATGTAAAATATTATAATAATACAAAATTTGCTGTGGTTACTATTGTAAATTATAGCAGTTTCTCTGGATTTATGATCTATTCATATTTTCAATGGTGATTATTATATTGGTTTAATTTTAAAAAAGATTAAATAAATACCACTTTATTTTACCAATCTAAATACCAAAATATCAATCTATAAACTTCAGCAATGTTAAGAAAGCAATGTTTGATAGAATAACACTTTTTGATCATAACAAAATCAAAACCTGGCATTCTGCAAAACAGAAAAAAAGAAAGATGTCCACCATAAGAACATTTAAACTTCAGAATAATAGTTATGAGACCTTAATCATTTTGAAGCATTCTGTATATAATAATACATAAGTATTGTGCGTTGTAGCAATTACAAATGTCCTGTGTGTTTTCATTTATCAGATAAACTAACTGTAATAACTGTAATTAATGTAAAAATAACATACAGTTGAAGTCAGAATTATTAGCCCCCCTTAATTATTAGCCACCTGTTTATTATTATTATTTTAATTTCTGTTTAACGGAAAAAATATTTTTTTAACACATTTCTAAACATGAAAGTTTTTTTTAACTCATTTCTAATATGATTTATTTGATCTTTGCCATGATGACAGTAAATAATATTTAACTAGATATTTTTCAAGACACTTCTATACAAGTGACATTTAAAGACTTAACTAGGTTAATTACAGTAGGTTAACTAGGCAGGTTAGGGTAATTAGGCAAGTCATTGTATAACAATGTACAACTGGTTTGTTCTGTTGAAAAAAAAATTTTGCTTTAAGGGGCTAATAATTTTGACCTTAAAATGCTTTTTATTATTATCTTTTTTATTAAAAACTGCTTTTATTCCAGCCGAAATAAAACAAATAAGACTTTCTCCAGAACAAAAAATATTATCAGACATACTGTGAAAATTGCCTGAATCTGTTAAACATCATTTGAGAAAGATTTAAAAAGAAAAAAAAATCAAAGGGGCTAAATTCTGACTAAAACTGTATGTTCGAACATACTCTATCACCAAAAATAAAAATTACATAAAAACTTTATGTTCAGACTTTCTCTTTGACTCTATCAAAGATTAATTCAAAAGAAAATCAAGAAAGATGCAGGATTGTATCTAGACAAGGTAACCCAACACTAATTAGATGATTTTTAGAGCGTGATGAGAGCAGCTCTGTTTAATCAAAAGATCCACTTCAGCGGTCATGAAGAAACAAGCGACCCACAGGCACCACCTGACAGTGCAAACAATGTCCTTTGCCAGGTCTATGGGATTTATTGGAACTAATTCTGTGCCACATGAAATAGTTTTGCAGTAGGTTTGACTTCACACATGTATGGTAAACTTTCAGCACTATACTGTATAAGAAAGTGTCTGTTTGACCTACACATTGCTTTAGAATAGAGAAGAAAGCAGGAGTTTTAGATTGCATCAGTTGCACATTTTTTTATGCCTTCAAGAAAGACATTTGGGTACAATATCAGTCAATGACTATATGGACATCAGTAATTGTATTATTTTCCTTAATCTGAACATTATGATTAAGGTGTTTACATGAGTTGCTTTTTGAAAGTTCCTTTCATAATCCCTATGTGCTATAATGTAATTTTACATGTTATAGCACATAATTCAATTAACATTATTGCATCACGACGCAATCCAAATTTCCTCCGGATTTTCATGTAATTTTAGGAGTTTCATTTTTAGTTCTAATTTTGTTTAACTTCTTAACTGCAGTTTGGCACTTTCACTTTCATTCAGAAACATTTCATGCAAGCCCCCCTGTCACAAACGAGATATTGATTGCGAGTATGAACTGCTGGAAGAGTGTTGTTTTAATGGAATTTGAAACCTCAAGCAGTATGGGGAAAAAAATCTCAGCATTTCACGATGCAGGTGTCTGTGGTACTTCACTGACTCAGTAGGTGCAGAGAATAGTGTCAAACAGTCGTGTGTGTATAGACTATCCTGTCGCAAATCGTGGTGAAAATCCTACATGACAATAATAGCTTGATTAAGGTGTTTACAGGTCTCTACTGCACTGTACAAACTCAGCAAACTCCACATGTCTTAATTTGATTTCTGTTTAGTCTGATTATGACCTTAATCAGATTAAATTAATTAAAAATCCCTGTATACATGGTAGACTCTAAAAGTATTGTCTTAATCGCATTAAAATTGTATTATTGGTGT